CGGACTGTTTTCATAAATCTAACAATATTTAATTATATGTAATAAGGTTATATTTTGAAAGATATGTTGATGTGATCAGGCTTTAATTAAAACCAAAAAAAAAATCTTAAGACTTCAGGGTGAAATCAATAGCACCCCTTTAAAAGTAAATGGTCTGTACTGAAATGTTTTGACTGCATAAAAAAATGGCAGCATAGCTCCTAAGGACATGTTTTAATTCAATTCACACAAGCCACACTGTTTGGGTATATTTAATATTGTAAGAGGGAGAAGAATTGCAATGAGTGGGGTAGCTCCCCTTATCCTAAAGGAGCATACTCATTGCAATAGAAGATAGATTTAACATAGAGAAAGTATATTTATTTTTACAAGCCAACCATTCATTTTCTTTTCATCTTTGTGTAGTTTCTGTGGCTTCTTATAGATTTGGCATTGTCTATCGATTATAAATTTCAAATGCGCCCTTCCTGGCGTGTTTACAGGTATCCATGAAGTCATGGAGAAGTGGTTTCATCCTTGTTGTCTTTACAACGTTTTATAGAAACTATGGCATACTTCAGGCTGCTGTCAAATTGTTTAACCACTGATATTGGTTCCATAAAGTCAGGCTCAAGAGATTCTGTACCCGATCTGTTTGAGATTGAAACGGTTATCGTGTCGGTTTTATGAATATCCGCTGCATCATGCGTTCTCAAATCGTCAATGATATCTGTCTGAATCTGTATAAACAGTTTACTATTAAACTTTTTTGGTTGTTATTTGTTTTAAAATTGACAGAAAACGACAGCGCAAAGTACTCCTCCATGTCTTCATCGATACCTGTAAACAATCTCCATGTGCTTTATTATTAAACGGTCCCATGTACGCTTGACAAGAAGGTAAGAAAAACCGAACTTGAAACGTGTAAATCGACCCAGACTTTAAATCAATTCCGGAAACGACTAGAAGTTCCTGATTGCGTCAATAGAAAAATAAAAATAATTTCTTCAAATTAAAAGCAATAAAATTTTCACAGTCGGGCGGATTTTCGAGGGTCGGTCGGTAAACTGCAAACAAACAATATTTTAATTTAAGCCTTAGGATCTTCCCTGACCTGTTCAATGGGATTGGGTGGTTTGTGCAGTGTGTTTTTGATGCCCATGATATTAGACAGGTGCTATCTTAATTGCTATAGAACATGCAGAAGCAAGCCTCATTCAATTCCAACATTTCAGGGGTACAACAACTTTTAAATGAACTGCATACTTATTTTGCAAGTTATCAAAATTTATTTATTTTTGTATTTAAAGGCAGATAAGGTTAATATTGAATTTCACATACGCTTCTGTTCCATTTGCCCCGTTCAGTAATTTTCATATTTTAGTAGCGCTGTGTAGTGCAGCATTTCTGAATTAAAATAACAAGGTCCAATGAAGGCGATGAAAATTCTGTTTGATAGCTAGTATGTTCAATTATTGTTATTAGTCCCCTACCGACGAAGTCGAAGGGGACTTTAGGTTTGCACTCTGTCCGTCTGTCCGTCTCTCTGTCCATCTGTCAGTCCGGCAAATCAGTTTTTTAGACTTTTTTCTTCGTGCTTGAAGATATTGATTTGATATTTGGTTTATTGTTTTATCATGACAAGTTACAGGTCAAGTTCAATTTTCACGATTTTAGCTTTTCTCTTTGTTCAGTTAAAGCCCTTTCCCTAGAATTAAATTTTTGATGAAATACTTATTAATTAGTAGTTTTCTGTTCAAAGGGAAATAACTCATTTATTAAAAGACAAAATGACATTTGGGATTTTTTTCCTTTTCTTTGGTAAATTGTTTGAAGAATTTAGTGGTAAGTTTGTTTGTCATTCTTGAAGATATTGATTTGATAATTAGTATATAGTTTTATCATGACAAGTTACAGATCAAGTTGGAATTTTGTTCCGGTCTGATGATTTTGTGCAGAGTTATGGTCTTTGGACATCATGGACATAGAAAATTCACTTAAATAATCAGTTTTCAACAGTTTTTATACGACCGCAAAAAAATTTTTGTGGTCGTATATTGGTATGACGTTGGCGTCGTCGTCGTCGTCGTCCGGCGTCGTCCAAAGACACATTGGTTTTCGCACTCTAACTTTAGTTTAAGTGAATGGATCTTTATGAAATTTTACCACAAGGTTCAATACCACAAAAGGAAGGTTGGGATTGATTTTGGGGGTTATGGTAATAACAGTAAAGGAATTAGGGGCCAAAAAGGGGCCAAAAATAAGCATTTTTGTAACTTCCAGACATAACTTGTGTGTTAGTGTATGGATCTCTCTGACATTGTACCACAAGGTTCCATATCACTAAAGGAATGCTGGGATTGATTTTGGGGGTAATTGCCTCCAAATTTTAGGAATTAGGGGCCAAAAAAGGGGCAAAAAACAAGCATTTTTCTAGTTTCATGACAATAACTTGTGTGTAAGTGTATGGATCTTTCTGAAATTGTACTACAAGGTTCCATATCACAAAGGGAAAGCTGGGTTTGAGTTTGGGGGTAATTGCCCTAAACGTTTAGGAATTTGGGGCCAAAAAGGGGCCAAAAAACACATTTTTTTCTAGTTTCCAGACAATAACTTGTGTTCAAGTGTATGGATCTCTCTGAAATTGTACTGCAAGGTACCATACCACAAAGGGAAGGCTGGGATTGAGTTTGGGGGTGATGAATCATAATGGGGGTTCAAAAAATTTTGGGGGGGGGATTTATTTTTTTTTCCTTTTTTTTCTTTTTTTCCTTTTTTGTTTCTTTTAAAATTTTCCATTTTAAGTTGGTTATTTCTGATTTATATTTAAAATCAAATAATAATGATATGGTAGGAGATACACACCAAACAGGATGTGTAAATTATTATATAATAAGTATTGTGCAATAGCAAGAAATTTTCAATTGCCCAGTATTGCACAATAGCAAGAAATCTTCAATTGCACAGTATTGCGCAATAGCAAGAAATCTTCAATTGCACAGTATTGCGCAATAGCAAGAAATATCCAATAGCACAATATTGCGCAATAGCAAGAAATTGTCAATTGTACAGTATTGCGCAATAGCAAGAAATATTTAATAGCACAGGATTGTGCAAAAGAAGATACTTCCTATAAATTGCTTATTTCTTGACCAATTTCAATGGGGTTTTATTCTTGATTTCATGGGGTTCTTTAATATGCTGAATCTAACCGTGTATTTAGTTTTTGGATTTTGGGCCCCGTTTTTAAATTGGTCCACATTGAGGTCCAAAGGGTCCAAAATTAAACTTTGTTTGATTTCATCAAAAATTGAATTATTGGGGTTCTTTGATATGCCGAATCTAACTGTGTATTTAGATTCTTAAATTTTGGTTCCGTTTTCAAATTGGTCTACATTAAGGTCCAAAGGGTCCAAAATTAAACTTAGTTTGATTTTAACAAAAATTGAATTCTTAGGGTTCTTTGATATGCTGAATCTAAACATGTATTTAGATTTTTGATTATGGGCCCAGTTTTCAAGTTGGTCCAAATCGGGGTCCAAAATTAAACTTTGTTTGATTTCAACAAAAATTGAATATATGGGGTTCTTTGATATGCTGAATCTAACCATGTATTTAGATTTTTGATTTTTAGGCCCCGTTATCAACTTTGTCCACATTGAGGTCAAAAGGGTCCAAAATTAAACTTTGTTTGATTTCATCAAAAATTGAATTATTGGGGTTCTTTGATATGCCGAATCTAACCGTGTATTTAGATTCTTAATTTTTGGTTCCGTTTTCAAATTGGTCTACATTAAGATCCAAAGGGTCCAAAATTAAACTTAGTTTGATTTTAACAAAAATTGAATTCTTAGGGTTCTTTGATATGCTGAATCTAAACATGTATTTAGATTTTTGATTATGGGCCCAGTTTTCAAGTTGGTCCAAATCGGGGTCCAAAATTAAACTTTGTTAGATTTCAACAAAAATTGAATATATGGGGTTCTTTGATATGCTGAATCTAACCATGTATTTAGATTTTTGATTTTTGGGCCCCGTTATCAACTTTGTCCACATTGAGGTCAAAAGGGTCCAAAATTAAACTTTGTTTGATTTCATCAAAAATTGAATTCTTGGGGTTCTTTGATATGCTGAATCTAACCATGTATTTAGATTTTGGATATTGGACCATAATAGGTGAATGTCCAATTTAAAATTTTTAAGTTCTTAGACCACATTCAATCTGTGTTAGAAACCTATGCTGTGTCAAATATTTAATCACAATCCAAATCCAAAGCTGTATCAAGCTTGAATGTTGTGTCCATACTTGCCCCAACTGTTCAGGGTTCGACCTCTGCGGTCGTATCAAGCTGCGCCCTGCGGAGCATTTTATTTTTGTCTTGCTTGAAGATTTTGACTTGATATTTTTATGTAGTTTACACCATGACAAGTTATAGATCAAGTTAGAATTTAGTTCCATTACAATGAATTTTTATAACCTGTAGGGGACTATGAATTGCCATGCAATACTCACAGAATGCTTGTTTCATGTATTTAATATAAATTCAAAATTACAAAAAAACAGCTATTTGTAATTTATTTTCAAGAAAAAAGATTTATTCAGAGATTAACATTGTAAATACAGGTAGTTTAGGCTTTCATCACCATAGTTTTATTTTGGGATTTTGACTTAATCTTACCTTTCTCTTGCTTGTATTTTTACTTCAGTTGCTTTCTGTTTTACTAATTTTACTCCCAAATTTCTAACCTATACACAAGTATGAAGGTACCTTACAATAGGGCTTAATTACAAAAATCATTCATCTATCAGATGCATGAATGGATTTATTCAATTGATGGCACTGTTACTCTGTTATTGTGTCTTAACCCTTTACACAATGGTAATAATGTAAAAGAAGACTTACTTACACAGAAAAGAAGAAATTTTAACTGACCATGGAATTATGGACTTTGAGCATAGTTTGATAATATAGAAGACTGATGTGATTAAATTTTTATTACCCCCCTTTTCTTTTTTACAGAAAACTTCACAAAAGCCTGTTCCGATGTTCAAATACACATGAAGAAGATTATGCTGAAGTGTTCTGATTGTAACCAAGATGTTCCGGAATGGGAAATTATAAATCTAGACCAACAGTATCGTGTGCTGGTAATTTTTTATTCTAAAACTGATATTATATCAATAATATCATGAATATAAGACTCAAATAAAATCTACATTGTACCAGTTATTTTGAATTTAACAATGTCCAGTAAGTCTTGCATTGTCATGATTGTGTAGTACCACAGTTATTCAAAACAGTCCCTTCTGATTTATTTATTGCTCATGGAAGAAATAAAGAAACATGCACATGTATTACATGTATTAGCAGTCTAGCAGATTGTGACTATTATTCCCCCTGTTTACTGAAACAGAAGTGTATGCTATAGTGTGCATATTATATGTCACTTGAAAACCAAATAATATGCCTGTATTTTAACAAAATTATTTTACAAAAAAATCTTTAAAAAAAGCACTTACCACATATTTAAATCAAATTAGTACACAGACAGTGCATGACATGATTCAGTTAAATTCCTGTAGAAGTTTTACAATGAATACAGCCTGGTGATTTTTTGTGATGTACTCTGAAATTCAAAAGGTAAATCAGACTGTTAAATTTTTGTATAACAGACATGACAGATGATATACTTTTATATCTATCTACAAACTTATTTTCAGTTGTGTAAATTATTTGTTGTAGATGAATTAAAAAAGAAAATCAGTGAGAGTTATTCTATATTCCGTTCTAGAGTAATAGAAGATTTGCGACCAAGAGATTCAGATTGGACAGAGCTTCAGCAACTATGTGCGTAAGTACTTATTGAACAGAAGTACAGAACAGAATATTTAACTTCAGAATGACAAAAATTTCGTCTAGCAAATCAAATCAATCTTAAGTCAGTAAATAATTGTCATGTAAGTTAAATTCAATTTGTACATAAAATCTAGAATCCAGGCCAAGCCTCCAGGCTCCATCTATGTTTTGATATGGCTAGGCTTGGAGGATTTAATGGTGAACTATCAGCATGGATCAGGACTGTTATTACTAGGAATTCTTTGTTAAGAATGTATACATAAATGTTCATGTCATAATTCTTACACAAAAAATGCTGCTGAAAACCAAATATCAAAGCTACCACAATAAAAGGGAAAAACAAGATTTATCCATGTCTAGAAATAAAATTTGTGTATGTACAGCAGTCAGGGACCCACTTGTGCAAGTCAGAATATATTATTGATAGTAACCTCCCCTTATAAAAACCAGATCTTGTTTGTAGCAGAGTCAGAAATACATGTTTTAGAAAGAATTGAAACTACAGCATGCACTTTCAAGCAAAACAAATTTAGAATACTGAAATATAGGGTTTCAGCATTTAAGGTCTTCAAAGGCAGTCTATTTTATTTCTGAAAAATAAATGAAAACCAGAATATGACTTGATTCAATTAGAAATTAGATTCTGACTAGCACAAGCACAAGTGATCCCCCACACTAGCACTGTACAGTTTAACTTCAGGGTTAAACCATGCATTTATAATTTTTAAACTGTACTTGCTTAATTCTTTCTTATTTTATTTCATATTAATGCTGATGTCATCAGTAAATAAAAATGTTTAAGAAGAAAAAATCTTGTTTCTTTTTGTCGAGCCTGCGACTTTTGTTGCAAAAGCGAGACATAGCGATCCTACATTCCGTCGACGTCGTCAGTGTCGGCGGCGTCCACAAATATTCACTCTGTGGTTAAAGTTTTTCAAATTTTAATAACTTTCTTAAACTAACCTGCATTTCAACCAAACTTGGACAGAAGCTTGTTAATGATCATAAGATAGTATCCAGAAGTAAATTTTGTAAAAAGAAAATCTTGTTTATCCATATTTTACTCATAAATGGACTTAGTTTTTCTGCCAGTTAACATAACATTCACTCTGTGGTTAAAGTTTTTCAAATTTTAATAACTTTCTTAAACTATCCTAGATTTGTACCAAACTTGGACAGAAGCTTGTTTATAATCATAAGATAATATCCAGAGGAAAATTTTGTAAAAAAAAATCCTGTTTATCCGTATTTTACTGGACCTAGTTTTTCTGCCAGTTAACATAACATTCACTCTGTGGTTAAAGTTTTTCAAATTTCAATAACTTTCTTAAACTATCCTGGATTTGTACCACACTTGGACAGAAGCTTGTTTGTGATCATAAGATAGTATTCAAAAGTAAATTTTGTTAAAAAAACCCAACCTGTGTATCCGTATTGTACTTATAAATGGACTTAGTTTTTCTGCCAGTTAACATAACACTCACACTGTGGTTAAAGTTTGTCAAATTTTAATAACTTTCTTAAACTATCCTGGATTTGTACCAAACTTGGACAGAAGCTTGTTTATCATCAAAAGCTAGTATCTAGACGGAAATTTTGTAAAAATTTATTTCCTGTTTTTCCGTATATTACTTATAAATGGACTTAGTTTTATTCCAGTTAACATTACGTACAGTCTGCAGTTAAAGTTTTTAAAACATTTATTAGATTCATAAACCTTCTTGGATTTTTACCAAACTTGAACAGAACTTCTTACAATCAAAAGATAGTATCTAGAGGAAAATTTTTAATAATTTTTTCCCCATTTTTGTTGAGCCTGCAACTAACAGCAAAAGTAGGCGAGACACTGGGTTCTGCAGAACCCTTTCGAATTTTTTAAGTACTCTTTAATTTCAATATACTGCATTTTATTTTTACAGAAAATGTGATGTAAATGAAGTGAAACAAATTTTAACAGATGAAAATGTACTGGAGAATACTGATGGAAATTTTACTCTGCTACACATAGCATGTCTGTCTGGAAGTAAGTTTTAGTTGACAGTTGTCTCAACTAATCTAATATTTTTACTGTAATTTTTGTCTGAACCGTGACAAATTCTCGGAAGTATTACTTATGAATGCTGTTTTGGGTGTTCTGGTCTGTGACAATGCCGTTGTTAGTTGTTTTACTTTGTAGAAAGGTCAGGTTATTGGGAACCAGAAAGGTAAGTCAATGACAGTTGGTTTGCAGTTGTACTACCATTAGCTGATCTGATTTCCATGAAGATTAATTGATGCCACCCCCTCAGTTATGATTCATTGAATTTGAAAATTTGCATAGTTTACATGTTAAAATTGTGATTTGGTCAGTTTAAGAGAAACCACTTAGGAAAAGTCAATGATATTTGGTATGCAGTTGAATAGCATTGGGACATCTCATGCTCCATTTCCTTGGAGTTTTTTTGCCTTGCCTCTCATTCATGGTCTATTGACTTTAAAAGTGTGTCAATAGTTTATTATGTAGAAATAGTTACAGTTTTTCCTAACCTCTTATTTCTTGGTTTACTGTTGTTGGTAACATTTATGTATTATTGGTTTTATATTTATGGTTAACTTTGCATTATTAAAAAAAAGTTTTAGAATGACACAGAAAAGCTTCATGTATTATTTTTTCATTTATTTCAGCAAGTAGATCATTAGTAGACTTATTGATAAAGAGTGGTGTTCAACCATGTGTTCTGACTAAAAATCAGTTTGCAGCCATACATTTGGCAACTTACAAGGTATATTTCATGGTAATCACAAAATCTTAACTTACATGATATGTTATTAACAACGTAAATACACTATAAAAATTCATCTGATTGAAAAATGAGAAATTCATCTGCATAAAATGACTTTCAGCATTGTTTAAACTGAAATAAAAACAGTGATAATTTGTAGAAATAAGCATGAGTTTACTAGAAAAAAGTGAGAGAAAAAAACTGAGCTATAAATATAAACTTGAAAGATCAGTCAAAACTGGACCCTAATTGAACTAGCAACCAGTCTAGACCAGACTTAACAAAATATACTGGAGACCTGTCTTAATTTGTATTTTAGCAAATTGTAATCAGTATGAAGTGGGAATGTCAAAAGTAACAGTAGTTGAATACTCAAATGAAATCGAAACAGAACTTATTTCATAATTATTAGATTGACATAGAAATACGATACTACATGTATAAGTTATTTGTGACTAATCAAACACCAAAAATTCAAGGACAACACACAACACCATGGTCCAAATGAACAAAAAGACAAATAACCAATGGTCCACAAATGAAATACAGAAGAGAATCAAAGAATAAATAACTCAAACCCCACTAAATCTGGAGGAGATTCAAGTGATCCTTAATGGCAAGCACCTCCTGCTCAATTAGAAACACATAGTTGCTAATAGCTTGTCAAAATTCAGAGACCAGTAATATTGTGAAGATTATGGGTTCTATCCCCGTCTGGCTCTAACCAAAAATTTAGAAATAAGTATTCTCTGCTTTGTAGACAGGTAAGAATCATTAAGGAGTTAGAGCAAAGACTGATCAGAATAATGTGTCTGAATAAAAAAAATGTAGAGATGTGGTATTATTGCATATGAGACAACTATCCATCAGAGTTTATATCACTGTATGACCTTCAACAATGAGAAAAACCCATACAGTATAGTCAGCTCTGAGTACGGTGATATGTCTTCTGTGCTGCATACTGTTACTTTGTGAACTAGTATGTTCTAACACTTCAAGGACGTAGTCAAATAGTCTGTCAGTCTAGTACAAAGTAGTGTATGTTCATATGTCATTAGCATGTTATCTTCCTGAATATGCATTTAATATTTTCTGCAGGATGGTATGCAGCCATCAATGAAATAATTAGTTTTAAGTCCTGAAAGGGGTAAAAGTGGCAGCATTATGACCATGACAAATGAACCATATTTTGCTTGAAATTGAAATATACCTTAATTAATTACAGGGTGATATTGAATGTGTGCAATATTTATTAGAGCATGACAATGTTGATGTTAACCTACCAGGAAACAGTGGTATTACTCCTCTACACATTGCTGCTATGTGTGGCCACTCTGAGGTAAGGCGTGTCAGAGATAAAGAAATGTATGCTTAAAACTATTAAATGAATTGGATGGAAAATATTTGAGATGAAGATGGTTGACAGCATAATATTTTTGTTGTTGATAATTGAGTATTGTGCTGACTGTTTTTGTAATAGACTAGCATTTAAAAAATTACACTATGAAAATATGTCTGCTTAAGGGTGTAGATAAGTTTTTCAAACAGAATAAATATAAACATGATAAAGGTTAACGTTATGACTATTTAAAAAAAAAAATGTATGTATATTATATTCAGGAAACAAACTGTAAGCAATTTGACCATGTTGACTTTAACTGCACTCACTGAAAATCTCATTGTTATTCACTAATAATAAGGGTAGGTTGGGTACATAAACACATATAGTATATAGTTTTTCTTTGCCCTGGAAAAAAATTAAAAATGAAGCTGTTCATATATACTGTATACAATTTCTAATTTTTTGGGGCATTTTTATATTATATTTAGTTTAATACTAAAGTAAAAACACATTGGGTTTGATGGTCTTATGTGCCATCATCTAATCTTATGATGTTTTCTAAAATGTCTATTTTTCATATCATGTAATGTCACAGAGATAAACATATTCATAACATTTTTAGCTTACCAGTCTTTTGCTTGAAAATGGTGGTTTAATAAACAAAGGAGATGCTGTGAAGTTTTCACCACTTCACCTGGCTTGTAATTTTGGTCATGACAAGGTATTTATATACTTATTATTTTTAATTTTGCTAACATACATGTAGTTAGTTTTGGTGTGTCTGTCAGTGTGTCAGTTAATCATTCCAGAACTTCTTTTCTAAACCAGAAAATGGATTTCAATGATCGTTTAGCACAGAATGGCACTAAGCTCATCATTTATGAAGATAATTACAATCCAGGTTTCTATTTCTCAAATCACTTGTATATGATAATAGTAAAAAAACCAACAGAACTCTATATATCAGGTTGATGATTTAATAAACTGTCCACTTATCAAAATTGCATAGTATTAAAACCTTTTTAGCTCACCTGACCTGAAAGGTCAAGTGAGCTTTTCTCATCACTTTGCGTCCGTCGTCCTGCGTCCGTCGTCCGTCGTCCGTCGTCCGTAAACTTATACAAAAATCTTCTCCTCTGAAACTACTTGGCCAAATTAAACCAAACTTGGCCACAATCATCATTGGGGTATCTAGTTTTAAAAATGTGTCCGGTGACCCGGCCAACCAACCAAGATGGCCGCCATGGCTAAATATAGAACATAGGGGTAAAATGTAGATTTTGGCTTATATCTCTGAAACCAAAGCATTTAGAGCAAATCTGACATGGGGGTAAAATTGTTTATCAGGTCAAGATCTATCTGCCCTGAAATTTTCAGATGAATCTGACAACCCGTTGTTGGGTTGCTGCCCCTGAATTGGTAATTTTAAGGAAATTTTGCCGTTTTTGGTTATTATCTTGAATATTATTATAGATAGAGATAAACTGTAAACAGCAATAATGTTCAGCAAAGTAAGATCTACAATTTAGTCAACTTGACCAAAATAGTCAGTTGACCCCTTAAGGAGTTATTGCCCTTTATAGTCAATTTTTAACCATTTTTCGTAAATTTTTGTAATCTTATACAAAAATCTTCTCCTCTGAAACTACTAAGACAAATTTAACCAAACTTAGCCACAATCATCATTAGGGTATCTAGTTCAAAAAATGTGTCCGATGACCCCGCCGCCGAACCAAGATGGCCGACATGGCTAAAAAATAGTACATAGGGTAAAATGCAGCTTTTGGCTCATATCTCTGAAACCAAAGCATTTAGAGCAAATATGATATGGGGTAAAATTGTTTATCAGGTCAAGATCTATCTGCCCTGAAATTTTCAGACCAATCAGGCAACAAGTTGTTGGGTTGCTGCCCCTGAATTGGTAATTTTAAGGAAATTTGCTGTTTTTGGTTATTATCTTGAATATTATTATAGATAGAGATAAACTGTAAACAGCAATAATGTTCAGCAAAGTGAGATCTACAATTAAGTCAAACTTGACCAAAATGGTCAGTTGACCCCTAAAGGAGTGATTGCCCTTTATAGTCAATTTTTAACCATTTTTCGTAAATTTTTGTAATCTTTTACAAAAATCTTCTCCTCTGAAACTACTAAGACAAATTTAACCAAACTTGTCCACAATCATCATTAGGGTATCTAGTTTTAAAAATGTGTCCAATGACCCCGCCCGCGAACCAAGATGGCCGACATGGCTAAAGAATAGTACATAGGGTAAAATGCAGTTTTTGGCTCATATCTCTGAAACCAAAGCATTTAGAGCAAATCTGACAGGATAAAATTGTTCATTAGGTCAAGATCTATCTGCTTCGAAATTTTCAGATAAATCTGACAACCTGTTGTTGGGTTGCTGCCCCTGAATTGGTAATTTTAAGGAAATATTGCCGTTTTTGGTTATTATCTTGAATATTATTATAGATAGAGATAAACTGTAAACAGCAATAATGTTCATCAAAGTAAAATCTACAAATAAGTCAACTTGACCTAAATGGTCAGTTGACCCCTTAAGGAGTTATTGCCCTTTATAGTCAATTTTTAACCATTTTTCGTAAATTTTTGTAATCTTTTACTAAAATCTTCTCCTCTGAAACTACTAAGACAAATTTAACCAAACTTGTCCACAATCATCATTTGGGTATCTAGTTTAAAAAATGTGTCCGATGACCCTGCCCGCGAACCAAGATGGCCGACATGGCTAAAAAATAATACATAGGGTATGTATATAGATAGAGATTAATTGTAAACAGCAATAATGTACAGCAAAGTAAGTTCTACAAATAAGTCAACATGACCTAAATTGTCAATTGACCCCTTAAGGAGTTATTGCCCTTTATAGTCAATTTTTTACAATTTTCATAAATTTTGTAAATTTTTGTAAATTTTTACAAAATATTTTCCACTGTAACTACTGGGCCAAGTTCATTATAGATAGAGATAATTGTAAGCAGCAAGAATGTTCAGTAAAGTAAGATCTACAAACACATCACCATCACCAAAACACAATTTTGTCATGAATCCATCTGTGTCCTTTGTTTAATATGCACATATACCAAGGTGAGCGACACAGGCTCTTTAGAGCCTCTAGTTATTTCAAGTACAGGTAACAATTTCAAAAACATATAATGGATAGAGTTTGCCTAGTTGGCCAAGTGATATTTACCTGCTGTAGGTTACTTCATCCTAACAAAACTGCTGTATGTGTTTCGGCCTTGCTCCAGTCATTTAAGGGAAAGACAGTCAATCTATGGGGTTCCAGTTAAGTACCCCCTTTAGGTCACAAGGTTACATTTGAAAATTGCCTCAAGTCCCCATCTCACTTTTAAACAAACTATACAGTTCTGAACTTATCTAATTCGTGTAAACCAAAAAGTTCATCCTGAGGAGAAATAATTTCAATGATTCTTAAGTACTTTATGGAATTATTTCTCCTCAGGATGAATTTTTTGTTTTACATATATAAAGTGTCATTAGAGATATTTATGAGTTATTATAGTTACTAGTTGCACTTAAGCTATTTAAAACATTGTTTGCAGTTCTTTCTTTTTTATGGTCCTACAGTCCCACGGTAGTGTGCTTGCTTCAAGTAAGAGAGGTCATGGGTTTGATCCTCAGCTGGGTCAAACTGAAGACCAAAAAAATGGTATTTGCTGCTTCTCCACTAAGCATGCAGCATTTAAAAGTAAAAGCGAAGACTGATGAGCTGGAAGTAAGAATAATGGGTCCTGGTAGAATGACATGTCTTCCTGTGGATTGTTACCTTAATATTCATATCACATAAGCATGTTCTCACAGTATACATGTGATATTTGCCACTGGATGTTAAACACCAATCCAATGCATCATCTTTTATGTTCCAATATAGCTAATGTAAATATATTTTCTTTTGAAGGTTGTAGAACTTCTGATTTCTTGTGGAGCTGATATCAACATATCTGGTGGGGTTGGGGACAGACCTTTACATTTAGCATGTTCCAAAGGGCATTTAAATATTACCAAGTTGTTAATCAATGGTACTTCTAAGCAAATAGCAGACGGTAGGTCCAAATTTAAATTTCTTGTATATGTATTTAAAGAATTTAAAGTTGTTTTGGTAGACTTTCATCATTAATTGTGTCTAAATTGATAATACTGTACACTATTGTTATGAATGACTATACAATTCTTAAGTACAAGAAAGAATTAGCATGCAAGGTAAATTGACAAAATAAAGCACTCATCAAGATTTTAAGATTTGGTTGTATTATAAACCCTAAAAAGAAACCTACATGTGATATGATATGCTCGTCAAAGACAGACATATTATGGTGCCTGTTCATATATAAAGTACATCTCATACTTTATTAAAGTTTTCATAATGTTAAGTTCAGGAATACATGATTCTTTTATTATATTTAACCACAGTGTGAATGTCCTTCTGTCTGTCCTTTCCACACAAAGTACATGGTTTGTCCATTTAATTCCTCCTACAGTTTTTAATTTTGAACTTTAATTACATTATTCAGGGTGTTATTACATATAATAAGATTTTCCGTATTATCAGGATTTGGATTTTTGTCAAACTTTCCATGAATGACTAGATGTATATCTCTTGTCTGGCTAACTTCTACAGTTTTTCAACTAGAACTTTTTTCATAATGAAGAGTGTTTGTGCATATTTGAAAGCTGTGTCTTATTACAGGGTTTTTATTTTCTTTTAATCTTTCTCAAATGACAGGATGCTGAACTTAGTCTTTTTCCCCTTAATATCTTTGTCATTACATAAAAAATGTGGTACAAATTTTTGATGACTTTTCATTTGACAAATAGAATTTTCTGTTAGTGTATATAAATGTAGGTCAATCCCAAATTCACCAATATCAGTAGTTAACTGGATATGACATTTACCTAGTACATATTTTGTATTATGAACTGTTGCAGGTTTTTTGTACCTCCTATTAACTATGCAAAACTTAAGTAATGAAGTTTGATAGAAAAAACAATAAATTGTCCTACAGAATGGAATAAATTTTAACTATTCTTATCATTCTTATAATACTTTTTCCCCAGTGAATGTGACAGATGATGAGGAGCACAGACCAATACATTTTTGTTGTAAATCAGGACATCTGATGGTGCTACATTATCTTCTAGAACACCAAGCTGAAGCACATGGTGAAAATATCTATGGTGATACTCCACTTCATTTGTAAGTCAAAATTTGATACACAGCTTCATTGATAAATTGAAATTTCATATATAAATTCTACCACACTGCCTCTTTGATTATGATATTTAGCCTCAGCAGTTATTTTTTTATTTGCGCAATAAATATGCACACTTTTACACACAGCATGGGGATCATTATTTGCTATATACCTTACTTAGATTGAGTTGTATAGCGACTCATATAAGCATACTTATTGGGAGATCATTGATAGTCTCTGTTAAATTTATTCACACTTTTCTGGACTTTGGCTGATTTGGATCTTGACATTTGGTATTGCTATTGCTTACCTCTTATGCGTTTTTATGCCCCCGCCATTGCTGAGGGAGCATTAAGTTTCACCCTTGTCCGTCCGTACATCCGTCCATCCGTCCGTCCAATCATCCCAAAATTGGTTTCCGTTTTCTAACTTTAGTTTGCCTCAACCAAATGTTATGAAACTATACACAATGCTTATTACCCCAAAACACAGATCAAGTTTGAATAATGGTGGTGTCACTTTTAACGTTCTAGAGTTATGTCCCTTTACAAATCGAAAAATCGCTGAATTTTTCGTTTCCGTTCTTTAACTTTAGTTTGCCTCAACAAAATGTTATGAAACTTATACACAATGCTTATTACCACAAAACACAGATCAAGTTTGAATTTTGGTGGCGTCACTTTTAATGTTCTAGAGTTATGCCCCTTTACAAATAAAAAAATCACTGAATTTTTTCGTTTCCTTTCTCTAATTTTAGCTTGCCTCAACCAAATGGTATGAAATTTATACATAATGCTTATTACCACAAAACTCTGATCAAGTACAAATTTGGGTAGCGTCACTTCTACGGTTCTTGAGTTAGGTCCTTTTATAATGTTATATGCAAGTGGGGGCATCATTTGTGTTCCATGGACACATTCCCCATTTATTTTGTGTGGTAACTGTCTCAATAACATATACCCCACATCTCTTTTTATTCATATTTGTACAGATGGCAGTAAATAAAAGTAATCGATGATATTGTATAGTTCTATATTTTGTATATTTTCACAGTATATATGTATTAAATTTTTCAGAGCTTGCTACAACGCCAAAGTAGAAGTTGTTAAACAGCTTGTATCTCTCACCGGTCCTGATAGTCTGGTAAAGGAGAACTTGTTTGGTGAAACACCACTTCACAGTGCATGTACCAATGGCAGGAGTCTAGAATTAATCAAATTCCTGTTAGAACAACCAGTAGTCAATATAAACTGTCAGGGTAAAGATGGTCACACTGGTAATTCATTGTTTCATATATAAAACCTAATATATTGTCAAACCAAGGATTAATTGGTACACTTAAACTTTAGTCACAGAGGTATTCATTGTTGCATGTGCTAATTAACAAAATAATAACACAAGAAACCAGACATTATTGTTAAAAGAGGATATATGATAAGAACAATAGCACTGCTGCAATGTAGAAGGTTAACTAACAAATTGGCAATTCTTATGCACTATTTTTGTATGATAAACTTTTACTGAGTGATTAACCTGCTGCAACCACAGATGATGAAGTGGCTTAAATATTTGATTTTTATGGAATAGATCTGGGAATCAGGTGTACAAGCTGTCCATGCTGTGCTCCATTTTATAGCATTCACATGGCATTGTTTATTTTATATTTAGACTTATAATCCTGAAGGATTTAAGTAATGTACTGATAGAAAACATAACATTTTACATATTCAAGCTTCTATTTACGGGATATTTTTGTACATCCTTTTATGAATATGCCTTGAAAATAATAATAAATAAAATAACTAATGATTTTTTATAACCATCTTTCAAACAATTTTTCTGATTTGTTTCTTACTTTATTGACTTTAAAGAACAGAACAGTTTTTATACGCCTGTTTACGGGACGTATTATGGTATACCGTTGACCGTCTGTCCGTCCGTCCGTCTGTCCGTCCGTCCGTCGTCAACATGTCGGACATTAACTCAAAAAAGCTTTAACCAATATGCATGAAACTTTGGTGAATTGTTTATATCTATTGACATGAGCTCCCTTTTGTTTTTTATAAATTTCAGATTTACCATTTCTGAGTTTAGGGGTTTTATTCATTAAAAAAGGGGGGATTTTCCAGTTTTCTGACAATAACTCGAGAATGCTTTCACCAACTTGCAAGAAATTTTGGTGAATTGTTTATATCTATTGAATTGAGCTCCCTCTCGATTTTTATAAATTTTAGATTTTATGTTTCTGAGTTACAGGGTTTTATTCATAAAAAAAGGGTGATTTTCCAGTTTTCAAACAATAACTAAAAAATTCTTTCAGCAGTTCTCATGAAACTTTGGTGAATTGTTTATATCTGTTGATGTAAGCTCCCTTTAGAATTTTATAAATTTTAGATTTTACATTTCTGAGTTATGGGGTTTTATTCATTAAAAAAGGGGGGATTTTCCAGTTTTTGGACAATAACTCAAAAATGCTTTCAGCAGTTCTCATGAAACTTTGATGAATTATTTATAGCTATTGATGTAATTGTAACAGTAAATTTGGTCCGGTAGTAAAATTTGTCCGCCAGACTTTTTTTCCTAGTTAATCAAGTCCATGACCATTATTTTACTAGGAATTTAAGTCCCAGGACAAATTTTCCTAGGAAAATAAGTCCATAGCTAGTAAAATATGTCTGGCACTTATTTTCCTAGGAAAAATTGTCCTAAGACTTGTTTTTCTAGTAATTTTTATTATATTTTAAAAATTATTGAAAATAAAAAAAACATTTTCTTAGTTAATAAAAGGACATTGCCGGACGTTATAACCTAGGCATGTTAATGACATGGACATGATGTCCTAGGAAAATTATTCTGGGGACATAAATTTTATAAAAATATTAATACACAACTCTAAAACAATATTAAAACATAACATTTAAATTTAACTTTCAAAATAAAGGGAATGGACGTTTTTACCTAGGAATATTAATGACATGGACATGATTTCCTAGGAAAATTAGTCTGGTGACATGAATTTTATTAAAATGTTAATGCACATCTCTTAAACAATATTAAAATATAAATATTGAATTTCCATTGTTAACATGTAAATAATTTGTTTCATTAAAATTTTCCTTTTAAAATAAATGGCATGGACGTTTTTACCTAGGAATATTAATGACATTGACATGATTTCCTAGGAAAATTAGTCTGGAGACAAACATATTATGGGGACATGAATTTTATTAAAAATATAAATACACAACTCTTAAACAATATTAAAACTTAATATTTAAATTTCCAATATTGTTTAAATGTAAATGATTTGATTCATTAATATTTTTCCTATAAAAAAAAAGAACATGGACGTTTTTACCTAGGAATATTAATGACATGGACTTGAATTCCTAGGAAAATTAGTCTGGGGACATAAATTACTAACATCGGACTAAAAATACTAGTAAATTCTGTAACCATGGACTTTTTATACTAGTAATATGTGTCCACCCGGACATATTTTACCAGGACAAATTTATCTCTTACATAATCCCCCTATTGATTTTCATAAATTTCAAATATGACATTGAAAAGAAATTGAACTTTATTTGTTTATATATAGTCTGACAACAGATTTACTAAGTATTGCGCAACAGCATAGTGTATTGCACAACAGCAAGAAATCTTTAATTGAATATAAATTCAATTCATATAACCAATTTCAAGTTCTTTGACTACATTTATTCAGAAACCTATAAGGCTTAAATTAAAATATTGTTTGTTTGCAGTTTACCGACCGACCCTCGAAAATCCGCCCGACTGTGAAAATTTTATTGCTTTTAATTTGAAGAAATTATTTTTATTTTTCTATTGACGCAATCAGGAACTTCTAGTCGTTTCCGGAATTGATTTAAAGTCTGGGTCGATTTACACGTTTCAAGTTCGGTTTTTCTTACCTTCTTGTCAAGCGTACATGGGACCGTTTAATAATAAAGCACATGGAGATTGTTTACAGGTATCGATGAAGACATGGAGGAGTACTTTGCGCTGTCGTTTTCTGTCAATTTTAAAACAAATAACAACCAAAAAAGTTTAATAGTAAACTGTTTATACAGATTCAGACAGATATCATTGACGATTTGAGAACGCATGATGCAGCGGATATTCATAAAACCGACACGATAACCGTTTCAATCTCAAACAGATCGGGTACAGAATCTCTTGAGCCTGACTTTATGGAACCAATATCAGTGGTTAAACAATTTGACAGCAGCCTGAAGTATGCCATAGTTTCTATAAAACGTTGTAAAGACAACAAGGATGAAACCACTTCTCCATGACTTCATGGATACCTGTAAACACGCCAGGAAGGGCGCATTTGAAATTTATAATCGATAGACAATGCCAAATCTATAAGAAGCCACAGAAACTACACAAAGATGAAAAGAAAATGAATGGTTGGCTTGTAAAAATAAATATACTTTCTCTATGTTAAATCTATCTTCTATTGCAATGAGTATGCTCCTTTAGGATAAGGGGAGCTACCCCACTCATTGCAATTCTTCTCCCTCTTACAATATTAAATATACCCAAACAGTGTGGCTTGTGTGAATTGAATTAAAACATGTCCTTAGGAGCTATGCTGCCATTTTTTTATGCAGTCAAAACATTTCAGTACAGACCATTTACTTTTAAAGGGGTGCTATTGATTTCACCCTGAAGTCTTAAGATTTTTTTTTTGGTTTTAATTAAAGCCTGATCACATCAACATATCTTTCAAAATATAACCTTATTACATATAATTAAATATTGTTAGATTTATGAAAACAGTCCGATGTCAAATATATTTTTTCAATTGAGAAAGATTCAATGGTTAATTTTTTTTATTGATAACACTCTTACATTGTCTTATGAATCTTTGATATCTACATTTTCCTAATGAAAATACTCTACTCATGAAAACTTTCTAGTAAAGAAGCATATATGTCGGTGAACAATTTCTTTAAAACAATTCTAGTCATTCCTTGTTTATAAGATCTTATAAGTGTTCCAGTACTAGTATTTAATAATGTCATAAATTGGATAATCACACCATGTTATAGTTTCAATTTTGGTTGAAAAGTTTTTATCTGAAAATGCCTGTTCATTTCATGTTGGTTTTCAGTGTTTGTTGTTTTAAAAAAAATTTCTTCACAAGAAACTTGGTTTGTGTAACTGCTTGTTTAAACTTCATTTTGGCTGATAAAATAAAATATTTTTCCTACCTACCGACCCTTCAGTCTAAAGGTACAGTCGGAAAACTACAAACAAACATATTTTTAAGGTTGGCCTAACATGTCAAATATTTAATTACAATTCAAATTCAGACCTGTATCAAGCTTGAATATTGTGTCCATTTTTGCCCCAACTGTTCAGGGTTGGACCTCTGCAGGCGTATCCAGCTGTGCTCAGCAAAGCAGTTTATTCTATCTAGTGAAGAATTTTTTTTTCCATTTCCAGCATTACACAGTGCTTGCTACCATGGTCATATTAGAGTAGTACAATTCTTACTAGAATGGAGAGCAGATATGAACTTGGTGGCTCAAATTGTTGACCAGAAAGATGGAAATGAAAAGATAGAAGAACAAACTGCTTTGATGTGGGCTTATGAACAAGGTAATGACTATATTTTGTGAGGATCTAGAGATATAGTCTGCAACTCATAATTTTTATCAACTCCAAAGCAGGCAATACTACTCTGAAGTATATAAAAGGAATCATTATTTGTACATTGAAAAGGAAGAAAAAAAAGAATGTGGTGTATTAATTCATAACACAATATCCCTACATATGCTTGACAAACTCAAAAGAAAGGAACTCTGCTTAAATTGCTATTCTGTGAAAGTCACATGATACTTCTACTACGGCGGTGTTTAACGACATTAACTACCCATTAGGGTTTTACATAGTTGGTTAACTGATACTGTCATAATTTGCCCTACAATCTCATTATAAAATGCAGAAACAACATAAACATTTAGACAACCACAGGGCATATCAAGATATATTTTAACCTTGAATATTTTGTTGACCATATTAGAATTTTATTTACCTTTGAAGTTTATAATCTGTTGAGAGTCAGGTTAAAACCTTTACCTGGCTAAGCATATGTTAGACCCTATTCCTTTTATAGTTGATTGTATTTCATTTTCCTATAATATATTGAGCAGTCAGAGATTTGATATAGTATGTCTGTATAAAATGCTCACTCAGATAGAATAAAAAGAATACAAAATGTATTTGACCAAAGAGTAGTAATTTTTACAATGATATTCTTAACAGCAAAAATTAACTTTCTTTCTAAACCTTTTCAGGAACCACAAAAGATCAAGATGGACAGGTTTGAAATCAAAGTGTTCTTTTACAGTTGAAATTGAACTGTGAGGTTAAATTTGAAAGGTTATAACGAAACTGTAAAATTTGATGATGAAATACATGACACACCTCTTCATTATTTCAGGTCATGATTCCATTGTTACACTTCTTAAACATCATAAACTACCACAAGAAGAGTCTGCATGTGGAGACTATTCACAGCCTGGGGGTGAAGGGTCATATGTATCTGTCCCATCACCACTAGGGAAACTAAAGAGCATGACCAGAGGTAAGTTCTTCTGATTTCGTGAAACTTGAGTGATATGTTTCTGTCAAACGGTACAATAAATCATAATAGATTTAACTAGTTTTCTTGCAACTGATTATTTCATTGTGAATTTTATTTAGAGCTATTGAAACAATTGTTAGACATGGAAATGAATACTGAATAATATACGTTGAGTGGGAAAAAAATTGATACAGGTGACTTCACTTTGGTTTAGCTGACTTTCTGATCCTTTTTCATTTCCTGCAGCTGATATGTTTTTTCAGAACAGCTCACACTGAAATCAATATAGACCACTTACAAAATGAGGTGGCAAATATTACTTGCACATCATGACAAGAACATTGATGTGATATGATTATGAACCCTGCTTTGTACTAGACTGAGATGTTGAGCTAGATTTTTAATATGCTAGGTCATCATTATCAGGAAGACATTTCACCTTACTTGGGCATATCATTCTGACCACGATCCGTCCACAAACAACTTTGAGTAATTGTGCATATATGAAATAGTTTTACAACTATTAATGACCACGACCCATGTCCAGAAATGAAATTTCCCTTCCTGTCCTTCCACATTCCTTTTAATGGAATGGCCCGTACCTTATGTTGATGTCAAGTTGCTTAATCAAAGATTAATTAAGATCTGCAATAGGAAAGGACATTTCAGGCCCTGTGGTAACTATGGACAGTTTGTTTTTGGTATGTAAATCTAATCATTTTCATATATTCTGTGTGTGCAATGTTCTTCTCCTTCGTTTTAGAGAAAATTGATGTACTTCAGTTACGAGCCACTTTGCCAAGGCATTTCCAATTGCAGTTGACAGATCTGACTTTTCAGGAACCAATTGGAAGTGGATCATTTGGAAAAGTTTACAAAGGGTTGTGTGGTGGTCAAATTTGTGCAATCAAAAGGTATTAGTGAGTTTGTAAGAGTTGTCATGTTTCATTAATGATGTGGTTCAAAAATACATCAAATCATTTACAACAAAAAAAGATGTATATATGCTTACAATAAATGGGGTCGTGTTATTGTAAAAATTCTATAACAAAAGTTCAGTTAGAGAAATGATGAGACCATATTGGCATACAATTTCATTTGTACAACTGAAAGCAATCCCTCTGTTGAAAGTTAGGTGAGCTGCTTTAACTTCTTATGAAAGTTTTTTTTTTAATTTAAAATGCAATTCTTTGATATTCAAATATTGTTCTTTTCTTTAAAAAAAGCCGAACTAAGTTTAAAGAAACTAACAAAGCTAAGACTAGAATCATTTAAATAGCCCTTTTGTTTTATATATATGTAAACAGGATTATTGTCTTCTTTATCTATTTTCAGATACAGGGGTAATTCCTTTGGTGCCAAATCTGATGTAGATATGTTTTGTAGAGAAGTAGCAATCCTGTCCAAGCTCAATAGTCCTTATGTTATTAATTTTGTTGGTGCTACCTTGGATGACCCAAGTGTAAGTGGAAAATAATAACAGTCATTTTCAAAATTTTTATAACTTTTTTTTTCATTTAAAGGTCAGGTACATGTACTTATACAAGTGATTTCAGAATCACAACTTTAAGTGATTTTGGCTTTGAAAAATTGAAAATTTTCACAAAAATAGACACAGACTTTTTAGAATCACTGAAACAAGTAATTTGAGAAGTAAAAATGTAATCACTTCAATAAGTGTTTATAACATTTTCTTGATATTTTCCCCACAAACTTGATTTTTTTATTGGTTAAAAGACAAGGATTCCATGTAAAAAACAACTACATACATGCAGAAATTATCTTTTGCTTGATGAGCCTGTCAGTTTTTACAGTTTATTCCAGGGCTTCCAAAATTATTTTTAGCCAGCCGGACATTTTATGTACTATCCTGATTTTTATCTCTTAAAACTAAATAAACAAAAGGCAATTATGGTAATCAGTTGCCGAGTTGGCCATCCCAATGATTGACATTAAAAAAAACCGATATTATTTAATTTAAACTTTCTTTGATTCAAATTCGAAGTTCTGACGTAAACTGTTAAATTGGCAGTGCATCGAAGTGTGCAACATCAGCGTACTTATATCTGCCTTAGACTCTTTATTTGTGCAAAATAACGTTGTTAAACACTTTACTTTCGTTTTTAACCTGTTTTTTGTCCTGTTGTCTTGACAATGGTAAAACATGGACCAGAGACGGATACATAAATTCCGTGTACGTTTGCAAAGCATGAATGAGTGTAAGTAGCTCATTCTACGTTATTTCTTCAAGAAAATATTCGAAATAAACGTGAGATAAAGATATCAATGACAATTTAAGCATTTTTTGAAGAAATTAGGATGCATAATTAAATTTCACAACTGCGCACATGGGCACACGTGTACTAGTTCAAACAGGTTCAAACAACGTGGTTTTGACGATTTTTCATTTTCACCTTTTTAATTTTTTCATCAAATCATATTTGTAAATGTAATTCTGATAATTAAAATCTTTTTGACTAAATTAATTAGATGCAAACCGGTGAAATATAAGAAAATAACTTTGAATAGACCGATCAATGTCCGGTTCAAAATAGTTTACCTGTCAATTGAACAGGTAAATTTCAGCTGTTCGACAACCAATTAGCCTTGATTAAAATAAAAAGGTATTAAAGTAGGGGTTGTTTTGATAGTACTTAATGATCATGTCACTTTTATGACCGGAAATGTGTGGCTGTTAAAGGCAAAAGGTTGGGTCAAAAAAGATCGCGAATTATGTTAAAATGACCGTCTCATAAGAAAGCCTTGAAAACTGAAAAGTAGATGACCGTTTCGTGCTTTGCCCAGCCGGACTTTTACCGGACATTATACAAATGTCCGGAATATATGACCGTTTTGGAAGCCTTGGTTTATTCAAAAAATAATTTTTAGATCAGGACATAACCTTGAAGTAGATCATTCTAACTCTAAAGAACACCAATCAGGTTACTTAAAATTGTTGACCTTTGTCTGATTGTAAGAGTAGTTAATGAATATTTGATTACAGAAAAATTCCCAAGGGTACTTTTAAAAGCTTTATATGTAGGAAAATTAAAGAAAAATATGTCAAAATATGGAAAGTTAATGAAATTATCATTTGAAGTTCAAAGGAAACACCAAAATCACTTAAATAGGTGATAACTGAATTTATCAAATCACTGAAATAGGTGAAAATGAAATCACTTATATAAGTAGTACCCCTGACAGTTAAAAATGAAACAATTGTTTCACTGAATATTACAAAAAATAAGAGATTTAGTCTAGTTGTCAGTCATCCAGATATACTTCAAGGCATAACATGAATATGTCATGCCATTAGTAGGTATCAAATCTTCACAAATTGTAATTGTTTTTTATAGAAGTACTATAGTATTCTTTTCATTATGCCCCCACCGTAGCGGTGGGGGCATTAAGTTTTACCCTTGTCCGTCTGTACGTACATACGTACATACGTCCCATAATTGGTTTCCGTTCTCTAACTTGAGTTTGCCTCAACCAAATGTTATGAAACTTATACACAATGCTTATTACCACAAAAAAACAGATCAAGTTTGAATTTTGGTGGCGTCACCTTAACCGTTCTAGAGTTATGCCCCTTTATAAATGGAAAAATTGCAAAATGTTTAGTTTCTGTTCTCTAACTTAAGTTTGCCTCAACAAAATGTTATGAAACTTATACACAATGCTTATTACCACAAAACACAGATCAAGTTTGAATTTTGGTGGCATCACTTTAACCGTTCTAGAGTTATGCCCCTTTATAAATGGAAAAATTGGAAAATTTTTAGTTTCCGTTCTCTAACTTAAGTTTGCCTCAACCAAATGTTATGAAACTTATACACAATGCTTATTACCACAAAATACAGATCAAGTTTGAATTTTGATGGCGTCACTTTTACCCTTCTAGAGTTATGCCCCTTTATAAATGGAAAAAATGCAAAATGTTTAGTTTCCGTTCTCTAGCTTAAGTTTGCCTCTACCAAATGTTATGAAACTTATACACAATGCTTATTACCACAAAACACAGATCAAGTACAAATTTTGGTGGCGTCACTTTAACTGTTCTAGAGTTATGCCCCTTTATAAATGGAAAAATTGCAAAATTTTTAATTTCTTCTAAATATCAAGTAATTTTTAAAATTGGAGTTATCTTCCTTTGTCCATGATTATAGTTGAATCAACTACAATCAATGCTTTATACAATGCAATGTTTAATTTTGACTTCCACTGATAAAACACAGATCAAGTTGAATTTGGGTAGTGTCACTTTAACCATTATTGAGTTATGCCCCTTTATAAATCGAAAGATTGCAAAATTTCTAGTTTCCATTCTGTAACTTAAGTTTGCCCCAACCAAACAGTATGAAACCTTTACACAATATTCATTACCACAAAACTAAGATCAAGTACAAATGTTTTGTTTCCATTTTCTAACTTTAGTTTGCCTCAACCAAATGTTATGAAACTTATACACAATGCTTATTACTACATAATACAGATTAAGTACGAAATTTGGTGGCGACACTTTTACCATTCTTGAGTTATGTCCCTTTATAAACATAAAAATTGCTGAATTTTTCGTTTCTAACTTTAGTTTGTCTCAACCAAATGTTATAAAACTTATACACAACGGTTCTAGAGTTATGCGTGTTTACAAATAGAAAAATTGCTGAATTTTTAGTTTCTGTTCTCTACTTAAGTTAGCCTCAACCAAATGTTATGAGACTTACACACAATGCTTATTACCAAAAAATTTTTGGGTAGCGTCACTTTTACTGTTCTTCAGTTATGTCCCTTTATAACTATATGATATGCAAGCGGGGGCATCATCTGTGTCCACATGTGGACACTATCCACATTTATTAAACTATGTTTAAGTGTCATTCTATTTGTCCTATTGTGGGGTAGATTGAATTTCATTTTTCGATACCTGTTTTCTTTAAGGAAAGAATAGAGGACACCTTTAAAGCATTTTTTCTGATGTAGATTTTCCATTGGAATATTCAAATGGCTTTTTCAGTATCTACTGAATTAAGAATTATAAAAATTGATCCCTTCAATCTAAACTAACAACCATATATAGCTTGACACAATATATTAAGGAAACCAATTACCTGTATTGACTAATTCTTTATGTTTTCAGCAATTTGCAATTGTAACTCAGTATGTCAGTGGTGGATCAATATTTAGTATTATTCATGAGCACAAAAGGTAAGTTAAACATTTATGTATGTCAACACTGAGGTTATGAGTTCAAACCCAGCTTGTTGCAATGTTCGTTTAACTCCAATCTTAATTGACTAGGATTGCCATTTTTCTTGCTGAGGGTCAGTGAGTGATTTTCTCTTGGTACTCCAGCTTCCTACACCAATTAAAAATGGCCACCATGATATATCCAAGAGTGCTGAAACTGGCATCTAACACCAACAATCAAAAAAATGTGTAACAGTTCCAGACAACTACCAATGATTTAAAAGTGTGTGATGCCAATGCCATCAAGATTAATGATTATGGTCAAATGACAAATATCTGATGCATGTTGTCAATGAATATTATTATTAAAGTGAGCTGCTACCAGCAACATGTGTATCAAGAAAACACTATGATGTTTGATTGAAAATACTATATGCAGTGCCTTGAAATAACAAGTTTGACGTAGAATCTGGCACTTTTTTTGTTCCTGTCATCAGAGATTTAAACACACAAGTTGGCATTATGGAATGATTCTAACTGTCTGATTTTGTCCACATGTTCAGTCTCTTATCAATTTATTTCAAGCTTTTGGAATGAATGCAAATGATGTTCAGACTTTTTAGGTGATACTTAGTTCAAAGTTTTGAATTAATTGAATATATTGATATCAGTACAAAATTTAGTATTTGTTTATATAGAAAAGGTTAGTTGTTTTTGAGAAGGTTATCTATACACAGACTTAAAGTCCCTGCAGTAATGAATTGTAGTTGATCAATCCATATTCATCATACATCAACATCTTATCCAAATTATGCATGTAATATTTGGTGTTGTACATTAAGCAGCCATCAGTCATTTAATTTTATATTAACTTGAATGGTCTTCTATAATAAATACAAATAGTTAAGTCATATGAGAGTTAAGGTGGTCATTTTTTAATATCTATAAATAAAGGCAACAGTAGTATACCGCTGTTCAATAGTCATAAATGGATTTAACTGAAACAAATCTGGGTCACAAACCAAAACTGAGGGAAACACATCATCTATAAGAGGAAAACAACGGAACAGCATAAACACTGAACTGCTACATATAAACCTGTTGAATTTAAGCTTTCATGTTACCGTTGTGAAAACAGATCTCTAAAAAAACTAGAAATCAAGGTATTGAGTGCAATATACTTTATGCTAAAATATGCTTTTGATATGTTTCAATAATATTAACACCAATCTATTCAATACTCAGCAGTCATGCTGATAAAGATGCACTAATCTTAGTATCCTGAACATTTTCCATAAGTTTAAAGTGAATATTTTCACATTCCAGGATGATAGATGTACAGTCCAAATTAACTATTGCAAGTGATGTAGCCAAGGGTATGATGTACTTACATAACTTACCACAACCAATTATCCACCGAGATCTGAACAGTCATAATATACTGCTTGATGATGATGGCCATGCCTTGGTTGCAGATTTTGGAGGTCAGTTTTTTAACATAGAACACGAGAATTTATTTTTATGAATAAAAAAAGATGATTTGGGATACTGTAAATTCAGAAATTATTGCTAGGGTTTTATTAATGCGACTGGGTGGGTATCATAATATTTAGAACTCGAAATACATATAAATGTATGGAGATTTTCCGGAAATTGCAATAATTAATCTCACCTTTTTGTCCATTCTTAAAAAATCACAATAATAAATGAATGCAACAATTTCTGAATTTACAGTATATGTCTATATGAAATGGCAACCAAGTACTGAAAGAAAGTTTGAGATCTGTCATCTGACAACATTCAATTCCATAAAAATATAAACCTCTTAGATATGATCAAAGACCACAACTGAAGAGGTTTCAGACTTAAGACATGTACTTTAAGGGATTGATGGAAACAACTTCAACAGAAACTAAATTTGTCAGAAGTTATCTTCTCTTTAGCAATTAAGGGGTAAATTTGCTTGGTAATTGTATCAGTCTTCTAGGAGCCTCTAGCTATCTTTATCAATGAAATAACAAAATGTGGAAAAAGAACACTGTCTTTACCATTTTGTAATTTGATTTCTTAAGTTTAGAAAATTGATTCACTATTGTTTCTGTTGTAATGTATAATGTAAATTTAAATTACTGTGAGGTTTTTATTAATGCTTATTGATCAGTCCATTTGTCCACGTTGTGTAATTACAAAATTCATAATATTTTATCCATGTTATCAGAATTGACAAAGGAAATCTCAATTTTCGATTTTAATGATTTTATTTTTGGTTTTGTATTTCTTTTCAGAATCAAGATTTCTTAGGTCAACTGAAGATAATATGACAAAACAACCGGGGGTAAGAGATTTAAAAACTTGTTGAAAAGTGAATATGGATTATATTTTATATTGGATAACAGGAATAACCAAAAATACATGCATATGATGGCCTTATTTCAGTTATAAAATTTTTGATGAACAGATGTAATTTTGATGTTGAAATGAAAATGAGCAATGATTAAACATGCACAAATGACTACCTCAACGAGTTATTAGGATAGATTACTCTTTGATATTCTTTCTGTCTTTAAATAACTGTGATATGATTCTATCTTGTTGTCAGTTTTTAAAGGTCATATAAATATCAGATTAAAGAGAAATTTTAAGATTGGACTTTGATGACCAAGACTGCAAAAAGAAATCTGGTGATCCCTGAAACTTCCATATCAAGATAAAATCTGTCATGTTTCATAGCAATAAAAAATATTTTTTTAAACAAAATTATGTTGACAGAATTTTTGAAATCACAATTTAAGTTAAGATTCAATCAATAAAATGATGCCCCATTATTTGGAGCTCTTTGATTTTTATGCCCACTCCACAGCGAAGGGGGAATTAAGTTTTACCCTTGTCCGTCTGTATGTCCATCCGTACGTCTGTCCATCCATCTGTATGTTCCAAGTTTCCGTTCTTTAACTTAAGTTTGCCTAAACCAAACATTATGAAACTTTAATATACACAATGCTTATTACCATGAAACTCATATCAAGTTTGAATTTGGATGGCGTCTCTTTCACCGTTCTCGAGTTTATCCTTTTATAAATGGAAAAATTGCTAAATTTGCCATTTCCACACTCTTACTTAAGTTTGCCTCAACCAAATGTTATGCAACTTATACACAATGCTAATTACCACCGAACACAAGCAAGTTGGAATTATGGTGGCGTCACTTTTGCTATTCTTGAGTTATGTCCCTTTGTAAATTGAAAAATTGCAGAATTTGCATATATTTACAAGCGGGGCATATGTGTCCCATGGACACATACTTCAAATATATATTTAACATTAAGCCATTTTGATGAATGTCCTGTTTCTAGGGACTGTTGTTTGTTGTCAAAAAGTGACACATCTTGTATTTTATATAGATTTTCGAAGTAATGTTTTTGCTTTTTTTGTTGTTCTCAGTTTTTCTAAAGGAGATTAAGAATACTTTGCAAAAATGGTAAACAGACATTTTGATTGGCCAAAAATCATCTGTTCGATATTGTCCTAACCAAACCTTTAACAATTTTTTTTATTATTTTACTAGAATTTAAGATGGATGGCTCCAGAAATCTTTACTCAGTGCAATAAATACAGTATTAAAGCTGATATATTCAGTTACTCACTATGTCTTTGGGAACTTCTGTCTGGAGAACTGCCGTTTTCTCATCTCAAGCCAGGTAATTATTGCTAAATCCCACTGACATTATTGAAATAAGCACTTGTGAGGAAATTTAACAGAAAAATGTTTTAAATTTTAAGGAATAAGTAGCCTATGACTTTCACTATAAAAGAGGTTGTTATGTTAAAGGTATGATTTTAGACACAAAGTCATACAAGTGTTAATAGATTTTTTTTTGGCAACTGTGCAACTTGGATTATGCTGTATATTTGGGGCTTTAATGATTTCATATAACAAATTAATCTTTTTGTGGGTTTGTTTATCAAAAGATTTATTGATTGAAAAAAAGACACCCATGGAAAATGTATGTAAATCAGGCATCTTTTCCAGTTTAAAAAGAATTGAATAGAATGATAACTAGGCAAATCATGGAAAGAATTGTACATATGGTTATTGAAATCTTTTTATAAAACTCAATATTTTCCTTAACATTATTGAAACGTTAACTGCTTTGTTCTCTAAACTTGTAATAGTCTTATTGGCTATGAATTCTGTTTTTGTTTTAGCTGCCGCAGCAGCAGAAATGGCTTACCATAATACTCGACCACCGATAGCAGTTACGTTTCCTAAACCTATTGTAGCTTTTCTACAGAGAGGATGGCATGCTAATCCAGAGGTAAAAATTTTAAAACATTTTCAATGAAAAGGAAAATATGGAAATAATGTCATGAAGTATGTGAATTACATACACTGGAAACAACAACCATTTACGGCCAAATACAAATTTCCTCAATAGATATTTCTGGGACAAATACTCTGTAAAGCAGATACGTTTCTTTCTAACTTTTTTGTCTCGTCTCGGAGTCAAAAAGCTAGACATAGGTATGCTGTTTCCTGCGGCGGCGGTGTCAACAATGTATTAGTTTGTGATTAGGTCTAGTTCATGGTGAACCACTAGTGGTAGGTCAACAATATTTTGTATGCAGTTGTATTAGCATTGGCACATCTCATTACCATGCAGATTATTTGGTCCCGCCCCCTCAGTCAAGGTCTATTGACTTTGAAACTTTGCTTAGTTTACATGTATTAGTTTGTGATTAGGTCAGTTTATGGGGAACCGCTAGTGGTAGGTCAATGATATTTGGTATGCAGTTGTATAAGCATTGGCATATCTCATTTCCATGAAGATTATTTGGCCCTGCCCCCTCTTTCATGGTCTATTGACTTTGAAACGTTTGCTTAGTTTTCATGTATTAGTTTGTGATTAGGTCTGTTTAAGGGGAACCGTTAGTGGTATGTTAATGATAATTGGTATGCAGTTGTATAAGCATTAGCACATCTCATTTCCATGGAGAATATTTGGTCCTTACCCCTCAGTCATGGTCTATGGACTTTGAAACTTTTGCTTAGTTTACATGTATTAGTTTGTGATTAGGTCAGTTTAAGATGAACCACTAATGTTAAGTCAATGATATTTGGTATGCAAATGTATTGGCATTTGCAAGTTTCATTTCAATGGAGATTATAGAACCCCACCCCCTAATTATGGTTCATTGACTTTGAAACTTTTACATAGTTAACAAGTTAATGTTTGTGTTTAGGTTTGTTTAAAGGGAACGACTTATGAAAAGTCAATGGTATTTGGTTTGCAGTTGTATTAGCATTGGCACATCTCATTTCCATGGAGATTGTTTAGCCCTGTACCTTCAGTCATGGTTAATTGACTTTGAATATTTGCATTACTTACATGTTAAAGTATTGCTATTTTAATTTCAACATTTGCATTATCAAAATAACAAATAGGCAAGACATATCTCTGTGTTAACAGTTTATGTTATTTCTGATAGTTTGCTCTACAAAGCAGATATATTTCTCTTTAATTTGTTATTTTCTCACAATTTGATTTAAGTGTGTTGATGATTATCCTTACTTGTATGTTTTGTAGATTTGAATAAAAAAAAATGTAATTTTATTTAGGATCGTCCAGAATTTCGTGAAATATTGCCATTTATTGAAGAATGTAGAGAATCTCAAGCAGCTGGAACAATAAATAATACATCCTCTACTGCCAGTCTGGTGGCACATTTCACTTCAGCACTACCTCAAATCAAAGATGAAGATTCTGAAGAGGAAGGACGAGCTACGCCCCCTCTAACTGGAACAGTGACTGCACTTAGAACGAAATGGGAGCTTGAAGCTAATAGAAACAGGTAGTAATTGTGAATTAAAGGACAATTATGGCAACAAAGGAAATACTGTATGAATTCTTAGTTTGAATGTATGCATAAATCCCCTTACAGCTTTTATGCAGTAGCCTTTAATTACAGAATATTTGTACATACTGTGGGTTCATTTGTTTATCGTTGGTACCAATTTTCGAGGATTGAGGAAAAATTGTATATTCCTTATTTGTTTTTATGGACTTTCCCAAGTCTGTATAAAAGCCTATAGAAAAAAATATACATCAGTGAATTTTAAATTTGTGGTTTACTCATACCCATGACATCCATGAAAAGGTGCAGCATACAAATAATAATGAATCTACAGTATGCCAAAAAGTGGATACTGTGAAAGTACTTTTATTCGTGGGGTACTAATTTTCATGGTTTTTCAAAAATTTGATGAATGTTGGCAGTAATGAAAGACAAACAAGTAAGTGAAAATGGACACATTATTTGCAATATGCTACAAATCTTTATAAAACAACATATGACTACTTTCAAAAATAATTGTTTCTAATTTTTTTCTTCAGAAAACTAGAATTCGCGAATTTAAAAACCCACGAACATGTAACTTTTGCTCAAACCACGAAAATTGATACCCAGGAATTAAAGTACTTTCACAGTATTTTAAGTATCTTGAATGTCCTCAATTTTTTTGGTGCAAAATTACAGTACATTGTATTGTAAATATATAGTAATGTTTTGGTAAAATTTTGCATAAATGGTATACAGGATACCCGCCTCTTCTGAAATTGATTTTTAAGATGGAATTAATTTAACTGACAAGTTGCAAGAAAATATTGACTTATTTAAGTCATTAAAAAGTATTAACATGTACATGTATTAGAGAAACAAATGTAAATGCTTGACTTGATTGATAATGAATCAGATTACTATTATTGTACCTCTTTACTTATAGCACTGTACCATTAGAAGAGATTAGGAGAAGACTTCAGTTTCCCCAAATAGACAAAAATGGTGAGTGTCAGCATCTCTGCCTCTTGGCTTGTATAATTAAACAAAAGTTGAGAAAATAATTGATTCTAATATTTAAGTGTTAACCTGAAAACAAAGAAAAACAACAATAAAAAGGAGTGATGTGCATAAGTGGGATTTTGTGTTGTGTATATTAAGTACAGTCGAACCTCGTTATGTCGAAGTCGAAGGGACCGGACCATAGTATTCGACTCATCCGAGGTTCGACTCATCCGAGGTCGAGTGTGTCGTAGAAATACGGTATGAGATTTGCGTAAACTAGATACTTTGAACACTGTGCTTTTTTTGATATGACACACTTTATAATTGTGTATGCAATCGCCATTGTTGGTCCTTCATAATAATCAAACACACAAGAACAGATACAAATCATGCCCAAATAAAATCAATAGTCTACACAAATATTTATAAAGGTCAGTCACTATAAATTATGAAATCATTCGCGGAACGAAATAAGTTCTGAACGGTCTCTGATGAGGGTGTCTGCTGTACATTAAATTATCATGAATTAATCATAATTGTCTTAAACCTTTTTTAATGTAATTAATGAGTTTTAATTCTAACGATTGATTTCATCTCGGCTAGTGTCATTTAAATTCGTTTCGTTTTTATCTCATGTAAAATATGTTCAACACACTAAAGTTCCGCTTGAACAATCAACAAAGGTGTTACTTACCGGCAACCATAAACATGTCAATTTAACTGTTATACAAACAAGCATGTTTACTTAGCTTTAATCTCTTTTGAAAATGATTAGGTTACATAAGAAATACATCCGATTTGAGTTTTTATCATTAGGTCTGTATCTTTCGAAAATTCTTACTTTCGAACTTCGAGACATCGGGGTCAATTTACATTAATCTTATATCGACGGGACTATAAAATTTACTCGACATAACCGAGTATTCGAATCAACCGAGTTCGACTCATCAGAGGTTATTATGCATTGATCAAACGGGAATGTTACCGGGACCAAGAAATTACTTCGACTCATCCGAGTTTTCGACACAACCGAGTTCGACACAACGAGGTTCGACTGTAATTCAAATGGGTGATACAGTTTCGTTCTCAGACACCAATTGACTTTGAATTGTTCAACTTAAAATTTAGATGCATCTAGGGGAGTCTGTTTTAAAGAGTCTCTCCCTTTAAAAAAATTCACCCTGATCTACATATCATGATGTAACCTTTCAATGTCAAAGTTTTAGGTATCAAAATCAGCTCACAAAAGCATTAATCAAACAGATAGGTTTTAAAATAAATAACTCTAGTGGATTTTGTCATTATTGCGTGAAGTTTTCAACTCGACTCATGGTTGAGGCTTATTTGATTTTGAGAAGTCTTATTTTTTTAGACACTTTTGAAATGGCATTGGCTTTCAAATTCATGTTCACCAATTTGACTCAAATTCTCATATTTGATTTATTACATACTAAAACATATATTTATATTAAAAAGACTCAACACAAAAAAAACCAAAACAATTTACAATGCATCGACTCGTTATAACTGATCAGCATTTCGAGTGTATTTTAGACTAAACACCATCTAATTAACCATTGAGATGACCTCTGAATAATGCCAATTGTCATATGACTCGATATAAACAAAATATAAATACACAGACAGCCATGTGCAATCCTATTACGATGATCTCATGTCATTGATTAAAAAAATATGTATATCATCGTTTTACCTGAATAAGAATAATTTTTTGTGTGCAGAATCAAGTCAACAAAATGGATCTTCCCTGTGGACCCCTAGTTTCATTTTTCCATGTTGACATTCTTTTCTTTTTAATATCTGAACATGCTTTACACATGCATAACCCATCTTCAGTACTGGCCATGGTTAAATTGAAGGTCGGATGAAATCGTATTCAAATGCATTGAATTATTGACTTGAAAGGAAATAAAACATTACTGATGTTTTTTAGCTAATTTTTTCGAAATTGATTCAAACTGATGACTGCTAATAGTGAAATATTATTTCTTGATTCTGCTTTTATAAAGTGCATTGATTTTATTCATGTAATGGGGGAATGAGATAAATATTATAATCAGGTATTACTTGATTTTTTGTATTTCCAGGTTATGTATCAGATCCACTTAGTACTCTTCGACTGCCAGTAACTTTGCCAATGTCTGACTCTTGCAGTGATATAAGTAGTGCCTCTACCACATCCAGTATAACATAACAGAACAGGAAGCCTTTTAGATATGGAGTATTTTTCTTCAGATACCATGAATCCACATGCCATGCATTAACATTCTTTTCAAGGATATATTTATTGACTATTGCATGTTATATTGATGTTTTGATTGAATCTCTTGTGAAATCATTGTATGGGCATTATCAGACTATTCAAATGATACCTCAGGTTGATAGAATTTTTTTTGTCATTTATGAAATCCCACGTTAAGATTGTGTACGGGCATTATAGATATAAGTATTGTTTTTAGTCACCAGTAAATGCAAAATACATTAATTCTAATTTAGATTTTACACTATTTTTTTGATAATTTCCTTGTGGTCACTTCAGTAGACATCCAGATTTGTTGTTCATTTTCAGACAATTTTGAAAACATTGTGGTATTCATATAGATGAGAGCCTCTGAATATACTAAAATATACTGAGTAAATTTGATCACTCATGTTTATTTACACAATAGTCTCTTTTATTTATATTTAAATATGGTGCTGAACATTATAACAGATATTTTTACTGACAATTGGCTGAAAGGCTGAACAGTATTATTGTTGTTCAGTGTCTACCAGAAGGCTTAAATCAAAATGGTCATTTCAGTTCAAAATCTGTTTTAGTACAGCATACTTACTAGAGTGTGTACAAAAGAATTTGTTTAGTATACTTTTTTGTTAGATGGACCAACATTTTTTTCTAAGGTCCATAAAAACTAACGTTTACTGAAGAAAAAGCATATTCACATCTGCCTCTGAAGAAGGTCCATGAAGGACTGAAACTGGTTGTGCTTTGAATCATCACTCGGTGCTATTAATCATGTGTTTTGGCACTACCTACTCTTTATTTGTCATATACACATATTTATGACAAAATTTGAATGTGAAACAAAGTTAATATGTTTACATAACAGTTTCAGACTTGTGAAAATGTAATGTCAGAACCTTAACCAATCATGTATATAATAGATATTTTTACCTTACAAAACAGTTTTTCATGACAAGTGTCATAGATGAATTGGTATCATCAGATACATTTTTTGATTATTCAAAAGAAATATTCAGATAAAAGCTGATAGACAACATAAAAAAACATTCAGTCCTATAATTGACAAACATATTCAACTGGGAGAGCATATAGTCATCCTCAAAGTCAAAGTACTGTGATTTCCATTTAAAATACACAAAAGTGGCAACATGCTATTTATAACAGAAAAGATACTTATTGACTAAAAATGTGCAAAAAATACCTGCCAAAAGACAGGGTGTGGTAAGGGCATTATTTGGCTGAAATGAGAGTTCTTGATCTAAGGTTTAAGATTTCCATTTATGTTCATTTTTAAGTTGAGATAATACATATCTAAAACAAGTAGGTTATTATTCCTGAATCCATATTAAATCCAAGTGATGACATCATACTGCTTTTAAAAAATTTTGAACACACGAAAATAGAGTGCATGGAAGAAGTTGCTGATTAGTTTACAGCAGTGTTTTTCTATACAAGCAACATGTATCATAAAAATATCTTTTGATCTTAAAATCATAGCCAATAAAGAGCTTTAACCTCCCACATGCCAAATAATTATTTTTATGCAAAAATCACATGATTGTATAATTTTTTAGACCAAATATGGCAATAGCACATACTTCTTTTTTAGTCAAACTAAATTCTTACCTCATAACCACAGATAATTATTTATGCCTTATTAAGATTCATTATGTGATAAAAACATTAAACAGTTGGTCAAGTGCCCCCAGCATCACTAGTTGAAATAGAATGTGCATCCCAGGTAACACATAAGGGTCATTTTCAGATCTATGAATGATATTAGTAGTTCTTCATTACATAATCAAATATAACATATTGTGGTTCGTTATTAAATCAATCAAAGTCATGCTATATCTTGAAAAAGTAATCTTCAGCATTATAGTAGTGTTAGCAATTTACAAAGTGCCAAGTTATTTTTTAAAATCATGAAATAAAAATCATGGAAAGAATAAAGCTTATTTATGCAATATAACTGACTTTTCTTGTTGTCTGTATATTCCTGCTATTTTACTTCCATTGATGTAAATGAGACAACGCTCATATTAAACACTAAGAAATTTCGAAGTTTTCTCTCTAGGTCCATGACTAGAGATATGCTATTGATATTACATGTGCAATATGTTCATGTATTATTGGCTTTTCTAAGGTTTGGGGGAAATAATATGAAAAGTCAGCTCCTCAGATACCACTATTGGGCTGTGTTATTGGTGTTGTGAGGCACTTTTTTTTATACAGCTACCATCATTATGTTTTTTATCTTGTATATAATTCTTAAAGGTGTTGCTTGTTATCCCCCTTTTCCCACCCCTTTCAATGATGAAATTGCCATTAGATGCTAAAAAGGCATTTGCCAATTAAGAGGTAAGGTCAAATGTACCCTTTATTAGCTCACCTGGCCCAAAAGCCCAATTGAGCTTTTCTCATCACTTGTCATCCATCGTCTGTTAACTTTTACAAAGATCTTCTCTGAAACTACTGGGCCAAATTTAACCAAAATTGGCCACAATCATCATTTGGGTATCTAGTTTAAAAAATGTGTCTTCCCATGACCCCGCCTGCCTACCAAGATGGCCGACATGGCTAAAAATAGAACATAGGGGTAAAATGCAAGTTTTGTCTATTATTTTGAAAACCATTATGAATAGAGAAAATCTGACAAGAGCAAAAATGTTTAGAATGTTGAGCTATACCAATTGTCCATTGACATCAAAACTGTCAGACGACTTCTTATAGGAGTTATTGCCTTTTACCATTATTTCATTTTTGCCTATCATCTTGAAAACTACAATAGATAGAGAGAAACTTTAGATTGCAAAAATGATCAGCAAGACTAGTTCTTTAAATAGTCGAAATTGTCAGTCGACTCTTTCTTAGAGTTATTGCCCTTTGATGACAATTTTTACCAATTTTTTGCATTTTTGCCTTATATCTTGAAAAATATAATAGATAGATAGAAACTTAAATACCAAAAATGATCAGCAAGATGAAGATCTACAATGAAGACAATATGGTGGAAATCGTCCGACGACTCCTTATTGGAATTATTGCCATTTAATGACGATTTTTACCATTTTTTTTGCGTTTTGCCTTATATGATAAAAATTATAATTAGATAGATAGAAACTTAAATAAGCAAAAACGATCAGCAAGTCAGATCTTCTTACAAGTTAGATTTTGCCAATATAGTTAGTAGACTGTCACTATAAAGAGTGATTGCCCTTAAATCAATAAATGAGGATTTTTTTTTGCCCTCTTTTGTGTTGGAGCAAACGCTAAAGATGATAGAAAGAAACTAAACAGTCTAAATAATCAGCAATACTAGATCAACAAAATAGAGATTTTTGTCACGAATTCTATTCTCGTCTACAATGTTGGAGAGTGTCCTTAGTTGAATATGCATATAGACCAAGGTGAGTGACACAGGCTCTTTAGAGCCTCTAGTTTTAATTCATCAACGGGCTCATTTACATATTGCCTTACAATCTTTACTGGCTGTCATTTCAGATTATGATACTAGTTTACTAAGGCCTAGATGGGGAAATACATGTAAATTGAATCTTCTTGGAAATTCTTTTTCAATTCAATATTTAATAATATACTTAAATTGGCAAACAAATATTTATCGAAGCATTTGTTGCTCAGTTTTTAGTTTTCTAAGCTGTGTTTTAGTAAACTGTTGTTTTTATGAGTTTGAATGTCCCTTTGGTAACTTTTGGCTGTCTTTATGGGCAATTTTTGTATTCTTGTCTTTCATTTTTGCTTATGTGCTTTGTCTATATGCCATTTTATTTTTCTTTGTTGGCATATTTGTTTGTTTTTATAGTGATTAAGATTATAACACAATGTTGGCTGCTGTACCCCTTTTTTGCCGAGCCTTCGACTTTAGTCGAAAAAGCGGGACATAGTGATCCTACATTCCGTCGGCGTCGTCATCGTTGTCGTCGGCGGCGGCGTCCACAAATATTCACTCTGTGGTTAAAGTTTTTGAAATTTTAATAACTTTCCTAAACTATCCTGGATTTCTACCAAACTTGGACAGAAGCTTGTTTATGATCATAAGATAGTATCCAGAAGTAAATTTGTTAAAAAAAAAATCATTTTTTCCGTACTTTACTTATAAATGGACTTAGTTTTTCTGCTAGGAAACAATACATTCACTCTGTGGTTAAAGTTTTTAAAATTTAAATAACTTCCTTAAACTATCCTGTATTTGTACCAAACATGGACAGAAGCTTGTTTGTGATCAAAAGCTAGTATCTAGAAGAAAATTTTGTTAAAATTTTGTACTTGTTTATCCGTATTTTACTTATAAATGGACTTAGTTTTTCTTCCAGTTAACATTAAATATAGTCTGCAGTTAAAGTTTTTAAAACATTTATTAGATTCATAAACTATCCTGGATTTATACCAAACTTTGACAGAAGCATCTTACAATCAAAAGATAGTACTTATCTAAAGGAATATTTTTATTGTTTTTTTTCCTCATTTTGTTGAGCCTTCGATTAACAGCAAAAGTAGGCGAGACACTGGGTTCCGCGGAACCCTTACGAATTTTTTGACATTTTTACCTATTATGTCTGTTTGTTTTGTTCACACATTGTTGTCAATATAATGGAATGTTATGCGACTGTCAAACGAGTGAGAGGTTCATTTAGCTATAAAACCAGGTTTAATCCGCCATTTTCTACATAAGGAAATGCCTGTACCAAGTCAGGAATATGACAGTTGTTTTCCATTCATTTGATGTGTTTTAAGCTTTTGATTTTGTCATTTGATTAGGGACTTTCCGTTTTGAATTTTCTTTGGAGTTTGGTATTTTTGTTAGTTTACTTTTTACTTAAACATCATGATGTTTTACCAATATTAGCAGTTTGGTCTATTATCATGAAAAGTTAAATAGATGGAAAGAAACTGCATTTAGCAAAAATGACCAGCAACATAGGATCTACAAACATGTCAAAAGACTGAAATACCAATCAATCTTTATATAAGTTATTCCCTTTAGTGACGATTTTTGACCAATTTTAGTGCTTTTACCTAATACCTTGAAAACTGTTATATACACATACTTTAAACAGCAAAATGATCAGCAGTACCTGATCTCATTCCCTTTCATGGTGATTTTTGACAATTTAAGATCTTTTAACTAATATATTAAACTATATAACAGATAGAAACTATGATCAGCAAATAATCAGCATTACAATGACTACTAATCAGTTAGTATGATTTAATTCATTAATTGATCCTTATAGGAGTTAATTTTTTTTTGTAATGTGTTTATTGGCAAAAACTACATATATAAATCATCATAGTAAGTAAGTCCATAGTACATCAGCAAAATCAAGACAAGTACATATAATTGATATTTTTAATCATTTGACAAACTTAAAAGTAAATAATAATAATGGTAAAAAAAGAGAAACTAACCTGAGCAGCATGGATTGGGTAGATATATTTATTACGTAAAATTTTACTTGTAAAGTCATACTATTAGTTTGGAGCCAGTTATAGGAGTTAATGCCCTTGATTGACAATTGCTACATATTTATGTAGGTTTTTTGTCATTATCTATACACACTATAACGGATAGAAACTGTAAAAGCAAAAATTATCAACAAGACAAGATTTGCATACTGTCAATATGACAAAAATCTACAATGGATGATTGATTGATTGATTTCTGGTGTATAATGCCATTTTCAACACTATTACCTATTTTGTGATTATTGGCGATGGAAGCCGGAGTGCCCTGAGAGAACCCCGACCTTTGGCAGGAAAATTTGCAATCGTATTCAATTAAGAGAGAGGCTAAAGATACCAAATGGACAATCCAACTTATAAGTTGACAACGAATTGACAATAACATAGTGAAAAACGACCAAAAGACAAAACAACAGTATACAAAACACAACATAGAAAACTAAAGACTTGAGTAGCAAGAACCCCACCAAAAACCGGTGGAATCTCAGGTGCTCTGGAAGGGTAGGCAAATCCTGCTCCACAGGTGGCATCCGACATGTTGCTCATATAAGTACAAACCCTGTGACAAGTCCATTGCGGTAGGTCACGTCGAGGAAAAGATGACGGAATTGTGGTTACGACAAATGGAACATATCCGTCATCATCTGTGAATCAGATATTCCATAATGGTCAACTAACTCGTGATGGCGTCCGTTAAATTTTCAGTGCAAAGATTTTAAATTCACCACATGGAACTCTTGGTTGAAAAGCTTCCTTGTAAGCAGCAACCCTCTATCAAAGAAAATGCAAGATTTGAAATATTGTATCAACTGGGAGATACATACTCCATATGAAGGCGCTGTTTGAATGTTTCTTCATAGAAATGGAAAGTTCACTATCGGGAAAGTGAAATCATCTCTTTTGTCGTAAAGTTTTGTTCTCAACCGTTCCTCATTGTCAATTTTTAGAATGCAAGTTAAGATATGAGGTAGACATAACTGCATCTGTTGTATCCTTTATTTCAAATGGGATGGGATAGATGCGATCAACATAGTAACAAAACTTTGACTTACTAGTATTTAATGAGAGGATATCGTCTATAAAGCGGATAATGCTAGATTTTTTTCATTCTTTCAACGAAGCTCCTGTATGAAATATGCCTCATGAATAAAGGAACAAGCCAGCAAGAAGAGGAGATAGTTGGTTACCATGGGAATGCCGATTGTTTGTTGAAAAACACGTCCCCAAACGGAAAAAGTATGTTATCAATCAAGAAATCAAGCATCTTGATACTGTCAGTTTCGGAGAATTTTTTGTTTTAATCGAGTGTTGTTTTTTTTTTTACAAAGTACGATTTCTCCCTCCCTAAGACAACATACTTGTATCTACGTTGGTCATTCTTTTTTATTAAATAAAGCAGGACCATTTCTTACAATTTGTTCTTTAGTTTTGAATGGGGAAGAATTGTGTAAAGGTAGAAAAAATGTATGACAAAAATACCGAACTCTAAGAAAAGTTGAATGTTTGAATACTAGTGCAAGGGGAAAAGGAATTAAATTTATGCACTCTTACAGATATTTGGATTTTTTTTTAGTATCCATTCGGATTCACACTGCCCCTAGAGATGGTAATTTCACAATAACTTTAAAGACCGGCATTATATGAGCTACTTAAACCACTCGGCCACTTCGGCCCCACAATTGACTCCTTAAATCAGTCATTGCCCTAAAATCACAATTTTTAGTCAACGTTTTGTAACTTTTGGTCACAGATATCAAATATCTGAAATCCGAGAACTTTTTGGTTTACAGATTTTGTGACGGTTTTGAAAATGGCGGCAAACAAATCTTTGACAGCACAAATTTTTTCTGGATATCATCTTCTACGTAGATGTAAATTTTTCGTGAAAATGCAAGCAATATGAATTTTTTATCTATTTTAGCAGCCATTGTGAAAATGTTGGGAAACGTTTAATTTGTTTACACTTTGAATCATTTTTAAGGTAGATAGGGTGTCTTCTTCCATCTTGGATTTTGAAATACCAGAAAACAATCGGTCTAGATCTTTAATAAAATGTGCAAATTTTGAGAGTAGTCGGTAATTCATGTGTAAGAATTTTCATTTCAATATAGAAAATGACATGTTTTATCATATTTATGGTTGTATTTTACAAAAAAAAAGAATACTTTTGTTTGATTTAATTTTTCCAACTTTGTCACATAAGGGGAGGCAACTCAAATGTAAGGGCAGATAATTCAGATAAAGTAACTTTTACAATAGAATGTGTTAGGAATTTACCTATTTTATTATGTAGCAAGAAAACGGGTCCCGTGACCCCAGTTTTTCTTTTTCTTATCTGAAAGCATAATATTAGAGCTATCTTCTCATATTTTATCTCAAAATTCTATGGTGTAGTTTTCGTTTTATGGCAGAAAATTGGGTTTTGCATGCATAATCTATACAAAAATCTGTCAATTTTGCACAACCTATAGCGTGAAAATAAGCCCCGTGACCCATTCTTTTTATTCTTTTTTTTAAAAAAGCATGAAATAAACTACATTTTGGCAAATAATTAAAAAATTCTATGGATTAAAATTTAGACACCCCATCTACCTTAAATAGAAATCTATGAAATTTAAACATAAGGTTTATAACCACAAAAGGAAGGTTGGGATTGATTTTGGGGGTTATGGTCCTAACAGTTTAGGAATTAGGGGCCAAAAAGGGGCTCAGATAAGCATTTTTCTAGTTTCCAGACAATAACTTGTGGAACGGTGTATGGATCTTTCTGAAATTATACCACAAGTTTCCATACAACAAAAGAATGGTTAGGATTTGCTTTGGGGGGTTATGGCTCAAACCGTTTAGGAATTAGGGGAAAAACAAGGGTTTCCTGGTTAATGGATAATTACTTAAGATAATTTAAAAGCAGTGTAAGGGAGGAATCCAAACACAGCGTTTTGATTACCTCACTGCTTTTAAATTATGTATAAAGAAATGTTGTATTGTCTTGAGATGATTAGCTGTCAATTTATTTTTAGAAGTTACTAATAAGGAATATTAATTTTAGCCATGATTATGTATTTCATTTTCTATTTTGAGACTTTTATGATGTATTCAAATGGGTAATTATGGTTGCAAACGCCATTGGAAATTTTAATTGAGATTATGGCCATATCTTGAGGGAAAGATTTTTTTTGGGGGAAAAAAAGGGGGGGGGTTAGGGGAAAGTGAAAAAAAATTCTTCAAATGTTATTTTTTTTGCAAAAAAAAAAGTGTGTGTGTGTGTGTGGGGGGGGGGGGGGGGTCAATACGCAACAGCATAGTGTATTACACAAAAGCAAAAAAAGGGGGTTAAGTTTTTTTTTTGTGGGGGGAGGGGGGTCAATTCTCAACAGCAAAGTGTATTGCACAAAAGCAAAAAATTGAATATAAATTCAAATCATATAACCAATTCTAAGTTCTTTGACTACAGTTATTCTGTGTCAGAAACCTATTATGTGTCAAATATTTAATTACAATCCAAATTCAGACCTGTATCAAGCGCGAATATTGTGTCCATTTTTGCCCCAACTGTTCAGGGTTGGACCCTTCGGTCATATCCAGCTGCGCTCGGCGAAGCAATTTATTGCAATTTTGTCTTCTAAATGATTTTTTGTCTACCTCTTCAATTGTACAAAATTGAGTTCCAGTACTTTTGGAAATGTGACCGATGACCAAGCCCGCCAACCAAGATGGCCGCCATGGCTAAAAATAGAACATAGGGGTAAAATGCAGATTTTAAATTATATCTCTGAAACCATTGAGAGAAAATCTGACAGAAGTAAAATGTTCATCAGGTTTATGTATATCTGCCCTGAAATTTTTCAGACAAATCAAACAAACAACCCGTTGTTTGGTTGCTGCCCCTGATCTGGTAATCTTAAGGAAATTTTGCAGTTTTTGGTTATTATCTTGAATATTATCATAGATAGAGATAAACTGTAAACAGCAATAATGTACGTCAAAGTAAGATCTACAAAGAAATCAACGTGACTAAAATGGCCAATTGACACCTTAAGGAGTTATTGCCAATTTATAGTCAATTTTTAACAATTTTTTGTAAATTTTTGTAATCTTTTACAAAAATCTTCTCCTCTGAAACTCCTGAGACAAATTTAACCAAACTTGGCCACAATCACCATTAGGGTATCTAGTTTAAAAAATGTGTCCGATGACGCCGCCTACCAACCAACATGGCTGACATGGCTAAAAATAAAACATAGGGGTAAAATGCAGATTTTGGCTTATATCTCAGAAACTAAAGCATTTAGAGCAAATCTGATAGGGGTAAAAGGTTTATCAGGTATAGATCTATCTGCCCTGAAATTTTTCAGACAAATCAGACAACCTGTTGTTGGGTTGCTGCCCCTGAATTGGAAATTTTAAGGAAATTTTGCAGTTTTTGGTTATTATCTTGAATATTATTAAAGATAGAGATAAACTGTAAAAAGCAATAATTTTCAGCAAAGTAAGATCTACAAGTAAGTCAACATGACTAAAATGATCAATTGACCCCTGAAGGAGTTATTGCCCTTTAAAGTAAATTTTTAACAATTTTTTGTAAATTTTTGTAATCTTTTACAAAAATCTTCTCCTCTGAAACTACTGAGACAAATTTAACCAAACTTGGCCACAATCATGACCGATGACCCCGCCTACCAACCAACATGGCCGACATGGCTAAAAATAGAGCATAGGGGTAATATGCAAGTTTTGTCTATAATTTTTTTAACCGTTATATATAGAGAAAATCTGAAAGGAGGAAAAATGATCAGAATAATGAGCTCTGCCAATTTTCCATATACGTCAAAACTGTTAGACAAATTCTTATAGGAGTTATTGCCCATAAATGACAAATTTTACCATTTTTTTTCATTTTTGCCTTTTATCATGAAAACTATGATATTCAGAGAGAAATTTTTTTTTCCGTTATGCCTTATATGATTTAAATTATAAAATGGTAAATAAACACTTTAAATCACAAAAATGACCAGCAAGGCAAGATCTATTAAAAAGTCAAATTTTGCCGATATAGTTAGTAGACTGTCACTCTTCATAGGAGTGATTGCCCTTAAATGAGGATTTTTTTTACCCTCTTTTGTGTTTTGAGCAAAAACAAAAGAAGATAGAGAGGAACTAAACAGACTAAAAGATCAAATAGAGATTTTTGTCATGAAGTCTATTCTTGTCTACAATGTTGGAGAGTGTCCTTTGTTTAATATGCACATAGACCAAGGTGAGCGACACAGACTCTTTAGAGCCTCTAGTTAAATTTTTTTAACTAAAATACATTTTTTAAGAAAATTCAATTTTCCATTTTTTTTTCAAATAAAAAATATGAAATATGCACACCTTAATTTTTTCAACAACTACAAAATTCCATCTCAAGCCTATCCATAATTTTAGAGTTGTTGCCTTTGCTAAAATTTTTCACGGACAAAGAAATAGTACTCTCGTTTGCTTGAAGCAGGCCCTTGTAAACTACTGTTGCCACTTATTCATTGAGGAATAACAGTGAGCAACATACATGCACTTTAGTCACCTGATACTTTTTTGTGTAAGGATGAATGAATAAAAAGAACTTTAAGATCAAAGTGCTGATACAATATTATTTATTGTACAAAATGTTTACCCGAGTAAACATAGTAAGAACTGGAAACACAATCATGGTCTTTCCACAAGGACAGGTTGATATCTCGAAGATTCCTACATCGACGTAGCTTACTGAAAATAAAACATACAATATCAATTTCAATTTCATATCTTGAATGCAAATATAATATCCTTGTAACACACTCACACAAACACAAACAAAATTGTATGACACGCTTGATTTACAGAATTAAATAGAGATTTTGTCATAGACAGAGTTATTTTTTTTGAAAAAATTATTTTGATTTGTTGCGTGATAAAAACAGAAAAAGAGGCCCTTATCGTTCCTTTATCTGATTTCTAACTAGCACAAAGCTTGAGCTGTTCCTGCATGATATAGATACCTATGGACAGGAAGTATTATAAATTTTATATAATTTATATTAAATTTTACATCAAAAATGAAAATGACATTACTCAAACATTTAGATCAGAATGTTTTTGCTTTTCGAAATTCTCAGTTTTTAATGCTCTGCCACTTGGCATTTGATTTGGCCTTTCATCTGTTTTAATTCGAACGCCACTGATCAGTTTTTTGAAGACGAAACGAACGTCTTCCGTACCAAATTATAACCCTGGTATCTTTGATGGGTTTTTGTATATGTTCTGGAAAATAATGTCAAACCTGCTTTAATTATAAAACAACGATTTGATGAAAGAAGATAATCTTCTTTGTTTCAGATTTAGAAATAGATATGTTAATGTCTCTTATCAAATTTCAAATTTAGCTTCAAATTTTTGTTTAAAGATTCTTAATTGACGTTAGCAATTATTATACCGCTGTCACTAGTAGATCAGTAACTATGTACCCTACCGAAGCACTCGAGTTCACGCAGGTTTTTTGGGTCAATCTTTAGTTTTCTTTGTAGTGTTTTGTAGACTTGTTTGTTTGTTCACTTTTTCTTTTGACCATCCTTTAGTATAATTTTCTTCTTCGACTAAGTGATTATGTTTGTCACTTTAATATCTTCTCCTTTTGTTTATATATTGATTTCTTGTCGGTTACTTACTTCCAACGAGCTTTACAGTAAAATAAAATATAACCACAGTGTCAGCAAATTAAATATATATATATATATATATATATATATATATATATATATATATCCACTATCATCGGAACAAGAGAGAAAAATCGGAAAGAGATACATTTCAACCTGATTCTAAAACATGCACACATAAATGTCTGCCAAGTATGTCGAAAATGTAAATTTACTTACTTATATTTCAATGGCTTTTTAAATATGTTCTTTTGTATAAATTCAATGCCAAAGTTTTTGCACCATATTTTCGATAATGAAGTGGCTTTTTTGATAGAGTTCAACTGATCTGGAAATACATTTTATAAATCATATTTAATGAAAGGTTTATAATATTTCATTTAACAAGTTTGTATGCAGCTGTTAACATGCTGTGCATTTCAAATCAATTGTACCAACAGCAACAAAACAATAATAAAAACTTATTACAAAAAATAAATATTTGCAAAATGTTCACTTGTTCAGAACAATTTTAATTGATTTGATTTTAGTGAAAAGGCAAACTGAAAATTAAAAAAAAAATTGTCAAATAAATGATATATACTATTAATCATATTATCAAACTCAATTTTCTGACTTTGTTTAAATTTTCATGACACATGTTTACCTTTTGTGAAAGCAAAATGAGGGTCATCTGATTCGTACCAAAATCGGTCGCCAACTTTAAAACGAGAATACTGTATACCCATTATACAAGCAAAAGTTGGACCAACGCTTCCACGTTTTCCTTTCTCTAAAAGACCACCGACAATCAAATCAACATCGTCAACTGACCTATATTAAAGTAAAGTATAATATCAAATTAAAATACTTTCAAACAGATGAATATATGCAAAGAATTTTAATATGTCGCTCTCCAAGCGCCTTGGAATGCAAACCCGAATATATCTTATGTCAGCTGGTATGACCATCTCGTTCATAAAGCTTTAGTAGAAACTAAAAATAATTTGTCAGTTTTTGCAACAGATACATCATTAAAAGACACAAATGGTATACAAAGACCAATATATATATCTGATCATACTATGATAATACTATGTGCCGACATACATTCTAACCCCGGTACACCAAAATACCCTTGTACACTGCATTTAGCACTAGATCAGAAAGATGTTAAAAATAACCAGAAATCAATAAAGTGTGATGAGTGCAAATAGTGGACGCGCATTAAACGGACAGATTAAAGAAGCCGAATAAACATTGTTCCAGAAACACGAATAAAAAATCCATCTATCCTACCAAATGATCATTACGAAATAATGGGCCAAATATAGTATACTAGTATGTAGTTCCAACAATTTTTTTAATATTGATACGCCAAGGCAACACAAATTAATGCGCCTAACCTTAACTTACTTGAATAAAAACCGTTCAATTTACTATGGAAAAATCCGGTCATAGGTAAACATACTGGTATTTCGGCAAATCGACAGGTCATAACATTCTCCTGATAAACACATCAACAGGCCAGCAGGTCGACAAGTCAACCGTCTAGATGTCAATCAGTAGATTAGCTAATCAACAGGTCAGGACGTCTGCAGGTCTACAGGTTAGCAGATCAATATGTTTGGAGGTCGACATGTCGACAGACAAGCCGTTAATAGGTTAACTAGTCGACATATCAGCTGGTCGTTAGGTCGACTGGTCGATATGTCAGTCAGTCAACAGGACATATATCAAGTATCCTTATCTCAATTCATATATGTTTTAAAATCATTTGGCAACAGTTAAAAAAATCAAAACGACAACAATTTTACAGGTCGACAGGTCGAAAGGACAAATATCAACTATTTTAGTTATCAATTCGTTTCATGTTTATAAAATTTATTTGGCAACCCTAAACCTAATTCTAACGCAAACTCTGACCTTACCCCTTACCCTAACCTTAACCCTAACCCTTACCCTAATCCTAACCTAAGACTGAACCCTAAATAAAGGCAACAGTAGTACACCGGTGTAACAGGAACACTGAAGTGCAACAAAAACAAACGCCAACATACATAGAAACGGACTATTTGATAACAACTGCCATATTCGTGACCTGGCACATTCTAAGAAAAAATGGTGGGTCGAACCTGGCTTTACGGCTAGCCACAAACCTCCCGCTTATATGACAATGCTATAAAATATCGCTAAAATGACAACACTACGTGACTGAAATACAACAAAAACACACGCAAGAACACTCATCACAGAGAAACGCACAAACAAATAATATAATAGTCGACACAACATGCAAACTGCAGAACAACAACGAACATCTTCCATCAACGACAGACACCACAGGACATCACAATCAGTGACGCACTTACGTAACGAACATGCAATCTCGAACTTTATACAATTATTTTCACAATACCAGTCCGAACAATTTTCATGACAATGATGGTATTGAAAGGCTATTCTATAATTATTTGGACTACAAATGATAAGACATAACACATTATCCAATCGAAACCATAACAGAAACATCAAAAATAAATACATGAATGTTGGATGTACAAAATACCGAGACACGTCCTATAGCAATGCAAATTCACACTGGTATAACAGTCATATTCGGGAATAGGTCACGTTCGGTACTTAGCAGAGAGACGACAAAGATGTTAAACCACAATCTAAGACGTGGTAAAAATGTCATTAGTTAGTTTAGACACAGACACATCGTATAGATCAACTAATTCGTGATGGTGTCCCTTACCCTAATCCTAACCCAAGACTAACCTAAGACGTAACCTTTAACCTTAAACTCCTAACCATAACGCAGTCCCTATTTTTAAACCTAATCATTACTCAAATTCTTATCTTTAACTTTACCCATTTTTTTACCTCTTACCCTAATCCTAAACTAACCCTAACCCTTAATCCAGTTAAAATGTCGACCAATCAACCTGTTGACCAGTTAACCTGTCAACTGATAACTGGTCAACCTGACAACCTGTCTAATCTTAACTTGATAAAAACGTAATTACTCAATAACTTTACTTAAATACAAGATAGGAAAAAATCCATTCTTTTAATATGCAATTTAATTAGAATAGATGAATTATGTCTTCAGTCTTTTACAAGGAACCTCATCTTGTAAACCTGTTTTTTAACGAATTTACTCAAATTCGAAGTGTTATACTGCCGATGGAACTACAATTATGCATTGTATACTTGACCCGAAATGATTGAAGACAGAAAAAGAGATATAGGTATGTTAATTGGTAGCAAGACAACACTTATGTGCACCGAACAAATCAAAGTCAGAACTACATGCAAGATCATATGGACTAAAGTATAGATAAAAGGAAGTAAAAATCTCTATATTTGAACCTTTCTACAAAAACCCAAAACGCACCAAGAAGATCTGAATAATCTTGAGGGATCACTTGATCGATACTAACAGCAACACTATTATATAAATGGGCGACCTCAATCTCCCGAGTATCAACTGGAAAAACGGAACAATCAAATCATCACCTCAATATGGAACAAATATAAACCAAAAGATGTTAAACGTAACGAGAAACCACAACATTAAACAAGTTGTAGCAGAACCCACAAGTGAAAACAATATTTTAGATTTGTGTTTTACCAACAACCCACATCTAATACAGAAAATAGAAGTGAAACCCGGAATATATGACCATAACGTTGTTAAGATCACCGTAAATGCATTGGCAAAAATTCATAAAGAAACATAGGAAAATAGGAAAAAATATCTGGTAACGGAAACAATTGAAAGGAACATATACCCTCAAAACAGACTACAACGAGATGGAATCTTCCTTGGATGACAGCAAATTAAATAGACGATAAGAAGGAAACACAAACTTAACAACAAAGCAAAAAAAAAAAAAAAATCAGACAAAGATTTGGGTTAGTTATATTTGTTGGATAATTGTTGATGCAGTAATTGTTCTGTTTGAAGCAATTATCTAGCATGGAGTTTCTCTTTGGGTACACACTATAACCAGGTATATTGAAGCCAATAAGTAAAAGTAATATGCTCATAATTCCGAAAAATTATCATAAGACACAAATTCAGGCAAGAGAATTTCTTCGAACAGAAAAATAACTGCATCAACAATTATCAAACATGAATAATTAATCTCAAACATTAATACAAGCTTTTAATGAATAGTCCAAATCCCCTAAAACCAACTTTTTCAAGAAATTGCAACATTTTTTTTTTATATAATTCAACAGATTAACAAAGAAAATTAAGCCTGGAAATCACAATAAATGTGCATCGTTTAAATCATGCTATATCGAGGTACTTGTTACTAAACGTTCGGTACCACTGTGAATTAAGACAAGAGTCTTCCGACAGCGGCACTTACCGAGAGGTAGTTATATACACAACTGAGTGATTGTCGACTTCTATAATGACATAGTGCACTGTTTTCCCTTCGAGTGTATATTGTTTACAATACAGAGATTTTCTTTGTTGACATATTTGTTTGTTTTTATAGTGATTAAGATTATAACAAAATGTTGACTGCTGTACCCCTATTTTTGACATTTTTACCTATTATGTCTGTTTGTTTTGTTCACATATTGTTGTCAATGTGATGGAATTTTAAGCGACTGTCATACAAGTGAGATGTTTAGCTAGCTATAAGACCAGGTTTAATCCACCATTTTCTACATAAGGAAATGCCTGTACCAAGTCAGGAGTATGACAGTTGTTTTCCATTCGTTTGATGTGTTTGAGCTTATGATTTTGCTATTTGATAAAAGACTTTCTGTTTTGAATTTTTCTTGGAGTTCGGTATTTTTGTTATTTTACTTTTTACTCTTACAACAGAATGTTGATCTACTTTACAAATATACAATAATTATCTTTTTTTGTCACTACAAGCTTATACTCGCTCGTCAAGAACATATTTATTATCTACCGCAACTATAAATAGTAATTCCAGATATATTCTAATGATACAAATTGCTAGTCTCATCTTATACAGAATGCCGTTTTACTCTTAGAAAACGCATTATGTATATGATTTATTTTTCTGAAAGTAATGATTCTTCAACAAACATAATGATTTTCCTTTATCATTTAGGTAATTGACAGTCATACGCGCAATTGTACAATGCTGTATACATAAACAAAAAACTGCCTTTTTGTTAAATGAGAATGCTTGTTGCTAAATGTGCCTTTTGCCTAATGACACACCATTAAAATAAGAAAATCAAACGTTTCGAAAAAAATCTAGAATTAGAGCTTTGAAAACTAGACATACTTATATACACTTGCAAGTGCGGAGCCAAATTCACCAAACTCATAAAAATATTCATATTTTCCGAGCCCACAATAGTCCCTCCACTCATTGTATGCAGGGAGCCCTTCTTCACGTCCTCGATGTATGTTTCTTGCAAATAGATCTGTACCTGGTGGATTCTTGTTCGAGAATAGTTTATTACGAATTGCGTCTACAAAAAAACTAATGAAACCAACAATTAGTGATCAAGTAAAATTTATAACACGAATTCGTTTATTTTTTACTTTATTATTATTTTTTTTTGGTAGCGCTGAAGTTGATAAATTTATCTGGGAAACGTTTCATTCATCAATACTCAGAGCTTCACAGCAATATATGAGAATGATCATTCAGGAAATGCTAATATAAAAGGAATGTGCCAACTGGTGCTAACGCTCGGTATAAAGATATTGAAAACTATAATACCTACCAAGTTATATTGACATAGAGCATGACACGAAAAAAAAATATTTCTTAATCTTAACCTACTCGCTAAAGCTGGCATGGTGAACAATTTTAATTTAATTATCTTAAGTTGAGTAATATCGTTATTTACTCACAACAGAATTCGTTTCATTGCCAAATTTCAATGACAGCTTATTGCCTTCTTGATGTTTCCAATTACTTTCCAAACAATGCGTAATCTACTACATTAGATTGAAAAAAGACTTTACTATTTTCAAGTAATTGTTTCATATTGTCCGGTAAAGAAGTTGCCAATTTAATTACATATCAATTTGTATTCACAGATTTTTATGAGGCATTCATGTGTATTTCAAAACAAATGCATTCATTTTTAATTATTATTCATTATTATTATTTGAAAAGACCGAAACAAACCTGTGATTAACAATTGTATACTACCAATGTACTTACTTATCAATTTTTTGTGTTTGTTTTAGTGCAATCCATCTAGTAAGATCTTTGATATTTGATCCATAATGTTGTTGCCATAGATATGGATTGAAAAAAGTGTCCTCAAGTTTGTGAGTAATTACAGTAGTATAATCATCTTTTAACTCTGACACATCTGACATTATTTGAGAATGACCATAACGAGCAGCAGCCCCACTAAAGCTGCTAAAAACAGACGCATCGATTTGATCATCGTAAACATTATCATAACCCCGTTTCTTAGAGAACAAGTTAAATTTTCGCATGGTGCGTTTGTCTAGAACAGCTGGTAAGAAATGGTTGTAGACAATGTGTTGAACTTGAGCTATGATGATTCTGCGAGTTTCCTGGAAAACTTTTTCGTTGCTCCAGCATGAGTTGAGCTTTCGAAGTCGCGTAGACAGTCGATTATGTTCCCTGACAAATAGCAAATGGTTAAGACTAAGATATGGTACCACAACACTTCTGCTGTCACCTAGAAGAGTACATAAAAAGTAATAAATTCTGCAATTCACCTTTTTTATAAATCAAGTTAGAAATAGTATTATTATACTTCGTGTCAAAATGCCACATTTTGATTGGTTAATACGAGGGAGACAATTTACTCTGTCCAAAGGCAAATACTCTATTAGGATACGCTTGCTCAAGTGTGCGCTTTCATAAATACGGATAATTATTATGTACAAACCGACATAGTTTACTTTGAATTTGAAATTTAATAGACAGTAATAACAGAACATCCAGTAGGATAAATTTAATAACACATAGCTGAGAAGGTCATAGAGCAGATTGTTATCCATCAAATAGACATTGTGGACCTTGGCTTCGCCTCAGTTGACATATCTACCAACGAAAAAAACAATGTACAATTAACATTAGGGATAATCTAAAGTGTTGTATTAAAATATTACATGTATAAGATTCATACAAAACCCATAAAATATCAAATATGATATTGGTTCTGGTTTGAAGAGTTTTTCTAATTATTCACTTTTAATACAAATATAAAGTTGACCTACCGCAAAGAGGGCTAGGTACGCCAAATTTTTATAGTAAGGACGGTTTGAAGGTCTTTTTAATTATAACTCGAAAGGGGTCTATTAAATGAACATACATGGAATTGAAGATACCCTTTGCATATCAAGTATAGCATGTCGAAGGAAAATCAACGATAGGCCAAAAAGAATGGAAAGGATGAAGAGACTAACAGCAAGACACTAAAAGAAACAAAAAATCCACAAAAAAGAAACCAAAGACGAAAAGAAAAAAATTGGAGCGAACTTATATGATCTGTATGGGGAAGCCAGTCGTTTTACTTTTCATAAGATCTGATTATGAGTCGTAATCACTGTTAATAATGCTCTTTTACCTTGCTTTTGATTTGTCCTTACGGCTGTTTTGATTTTGATCATTCTTATATAGACGAAACGCGCATCTGGCGTAAAATTGTAAGCCTACATGATGAGTTGTTTTTCAGTCAATAAAATTAACTGAATAATATATCTGTTTGATGGTTTGTCTTTTGTCTAACCCTAAGCTATTTTCGTAATAGTATAAACCCGTATACAGTGGGAAGTCTAGTCAACGAAAACAAAAGAAAATTCACTCTTAAGATAGAGTCGAGAAAATCAATAATAAAACAATGCCGGTGACGATACTGATCAAACGTTATTTCTAAATAACAATTGTACATTTGAAAGAAATTATTTGTTAAACTGTGTTATAAGAAATATACATGCAAATACACGATGTGTTATATTCAGTATTTATCAAGATAATTAAGTGAGAAGCTTATGAAACTAAAATCTAAAAAGAATTAATCTTTGCTGCTTATTGATAAAAAAAAATTAGAATAAATCATGAACAAACAAAATCTAAAGATCTTTCGGGTCACACAAAGTCATTAGTATGTTACAATTTCACAAAACATACTTATTTTTCAAATCTAAGCTTTCGAGTAAACCGGTCTGCTCTTGTCACATGAACATTCAATATAGAAATGTTGTCTTTTCGTGAATATAACAATTCAAAAGTCTGTCTGTGCAGATTTATAAACTAAACATAAATATTTTTATAAAGATGGTATCTTTTTACTATTTTTTATACAATTTAAAGAAAAGGTCGTCTCGATTTTTGTACATGTATTTGCAGTCTTCTCGATGTTTACTTCGGGAAAAGGTCCGTTTGAATTTGCTTAGTAATTTAATTTCAAAAGTGTTAATCTTTGCTGCATATCAATCGATTCCTTTGGAAAATTTCCCCTAACTTTCTCTGATCTAGCTGCTTACATATACGTATAATTAGTATGTTCCAGAGAGGTATACCGCCAGTAGAAAAATAAGTTGAAGTTGGTACTCTCGGGATGTATTCGCATTACAACATTTTAAACCGATTTTATTTCAAGCTCCTATAGCCTGCTGTACTGGTCGCTTGTTATTTAAGGAGGGAAATGATAACATTAAATGGAAGTTTTGTCTTTAATTCAACTTATTCCTATCTTTAATATTTACCAGAACGTTTTCCCGTGAATTTATAATTGATAGCGTCCTTGCTAAAACGGGACAAACATCGAAAAGATCTAGTTTTTAGTGTTTACAGGGAAAGTAATATTTTGTCACTAGATTTCCCACTGTATAGGAAATATTTAAACTCTAATATTACGAGCGCTGTGCGAATGACACCAATCTCTTTTCGTATGATACCGATCCCTGTTCGCATGACACGTGTATCTTGTAATTGAAACCTCAATTGTAACAGAACAAGTTTTTAAAGATAGACTTGATTTGTTGTATGTTCTTACTGAGAAAGTTTTTATGAGTCCGCTTACATAAGCTTTCAAATCAAGTTAAAGTTAGCAGTTAGGATCTGATTTATTTTCAAATTGCTACATAAAATTTTGTTATTGTTATTCCTACGTAAGCTTATTTGGAAGGTAACTCATGATAGATAATTCAAAATTTGATTTCATAGCTCGTAAAATCTTAAGCTGATGTCATATAAAAACCAAATTGTAGAATCTTTAGACATGTCATAACAGGTAATTAATAATTGCGGCAACAATGAAAACAAAACATGACATGTAGTTGTAAGGTCAAACTCCAAAACAAATTCAAATGAACGGAATGACAATAACACAAAAGGAAAAATCTAATATTTGAAGGTAGGTAGTAATGTAGCAAAGATATGAGATACTTATCCAAACCGATGATTAAAGGGAAAGATTGATAAATGCAACAAAAGCTAAAATCCAAAATGACCTGGAAATTCGTTGTAAATAGTAGTTTTAAGATTGCAATCTTGGAATTTTAATACATGTATAAATTTATACTATTGTTAAAGGGCATATCTCTGAAACGATAATTGACAAAAAAATTTAAAAGAAATGCTTTTTATTGAAGATTTTAATGATGCAAACTTATTAATTCGTAGTCCTTAGCGAACTATACTGAGCATATGGAATCTGTTTTGCATATTTAAGAGGAATAACTCTGAAACAGCATTTACCGAAAGTAACTTTATTTCTCATTTGGAAACCAATAAATTTGAAATTTGAACGGACTAACGGGCAAAGCGGGACCTATTTTGGAACATAATGACTAGCGACGGGTTGAGGTGTCCTTAAATGTTAAACTTGGATACAACAAATGCATTGAAAATATCAGATTGAAATCATCCTGGTATGAAATACATTTACGGAAATCGGGTCTATTTGATTGAACATTTTGCAAAAGAAACAGGTAACTGTCGATAAATAAAGCAAAAAAATATAATAACCTGCAAACGGACAGCGGACTTTAGGGGTGTCTTTTAGACAGCCTCCACCAGCGATTGAAGGCAAAAGGTTTCCAGGATCTGTCTTCATTAGGACTGTTTAAAAGAAAGAACACATCTATCTGTAAGTTTCTGATTCATCGAATATAAAAAAATTAACATTTTGTACAGCGCAGAAATAAACATGCAACATAACATCTACTTGCGCCAGTTCATTTGGGTATTATTATACAGTTTTTTTTTTTTTTTTTTTCGTAAAGATACCTACATCATTTGTGAATCGGAAATGTCCTGTTCTCATTGAATGATAACTATAAAGATAGTATGTATATAAACTCACCATAGATACCAGGATTAAAATTGTGCACGCCTGACGCCCGTTTCGTCTACAAAAGACTCATCAGTGACGCTCGAATAAAAAAGTTAAAAAGTCTAATAAGGAAAGGCGCTACATACATCTATCGAAACGTTAGTGTTGTTTCATCAATGTTAGATAAATATTTTATGGAGAAAAAAAAAAGAGAAGATAACAAGGGGAATTCAAAAATAATAAATACAATGAAAACAGACAAAACCATGGCCAAAAAATAGAAACGGTAACGAAACACTACATTGAAAACAAAAGACTAAACAACCCGAACCCTACCAAAACAAGTGGGTGAACTCAGGTGCTCCTGAAAAGTAATCAGTTCCTGCTCCACATGTGGCTCCCGTCGTGTTGTTAAAGCAAGTAAAAATCCGGTAATAAGTCGCTTTCGGTAATGTCACAATCGAGAAAAAAAGGACGGAATTATAGTTATGACAAGTAAATCATATACTTTAAGTTATATGGTTTTCAACTGACCACCTACGGATCCTTAGAGGGTTTGTAAAATCCCTAGGAATGAGGCCAAATATATATATATAAATATAGAGAGTCAATACAATTCGACGTCCGTATCCCTTATGGATTTTACTTACACTCTATGAATCTGTAGGGGGTTAGTAGTGAATCGTTTAACGAATTTATCAAACACGGGACTTTTCTTGCTAAGTAATATATAAGAATAAACAATGAAATACAATAACATTAATAGATGACGTCACCATTAGTAGACGTGACGGCATGATACCCCTATGAAATCTACTGAGCACCTATGAATTCAAGGGGGGGAGGTCACCACGTGACGGTGTTAAACCAATCACAATGTCACTATTAACCCCAGATGCGACACATATTTATTAATATGACACATAGGCTCCATAACAGTCAACCAAAACATCATGGCGTCCGTTAAACTTTCGAAGTTATTTAAAGAAATTATCTACCGCATAAAGAGAGGCCCTAAAATACGAAATCACTGCAGTATGATTTAATTGATTTTGCCAAAAATTTTGTGATTCGCTTTAAAACACTGACGATTGTTTTAATTCAATTTTCTGATGTTTCACAGCAGGAGGGCATCTTATGTTAATATCATGATTTTAGAGATAACTGTATTTTATTTGAAGCTTTGCGGACGTCCAGCGGTAGTTTTACTGTCGCAAATTTAGTTTACCTGGCGACGCGTAGCGGAGACAGGTAAACGGTTATTTGCGACAGTAAAACTACCGATGGACGTCCCAAAGCTTCAAATACAATACAGTAATCTCTATTCTAATGCAAAATAAGCAAATCATTCAAATTTAGTCATTATTTTAGTGTAAATTTTCATTAAACGAAAATTCCGCGAAATGATGTTTTCTTCTATGGCGCCTAAACTTGGTGACGTCATAGGTATGCTTCCGGCGTCAAACGTAAATACCGGGTGTTTTATGGCTTCATGTCCGCTTCAAAATGTAATAAAATGTGATAAAATGAAGATTTCCAGGTGCAAAATGTGAGTTTTTTTGCTTATTATTGGAGAAATGACATGTCAATACATTCCATAATTCAAAATGTCGGCTTCCTTAGTTACAGACAGGGAGATAGAGAATTTTACGATTATTGTCATCCAATCAAAATCATTGATACAAAATAATTGCAATAGAATTCATACTATAGTGTTGTAACAGGAATGATTTGTATGCTTAAATTTCCAATAAATGTCGCCTGTTATAAAGGAATAAGACTCTTTTATCACCGTTGATGATATATAGACAAATCATTGATATTAGATCAAAGATTGAACTTTTTGATATCCAGTTGGACTAAATATGTAAATGTCATTGATATTGAATCAAATGAATAACATATTTTGTAAGTGCTAATTACAAACATTAACTGCTTCCATACTTTTTTCAAACTATTTTAAGTTTTGTATTTCAGATTGATTATAAATGATCATAAAAGTCTTTCAATAAAGTAAAAAAAATCTTTAAAAATGCTATGGAGTTGTAAAAAGACGCACTTTCGTCAGTTGTTTCCATAATTCTGAATATGTATTAATCGTATTCTCAATAAACCTAAAGATAAGGAGGTACATGATTACCAATGGGAAAATATATACCAATGAAAGACCAAATAACATGAAATAACGAGACAGAAAATACCTTGGGGATAGTCAAAAAATCAATAGTTGAAGAAAAACAGACAATATCATGACAAAAAAGTCTACAAAAAATAACAAGAAAATTGAAGGCTGAGTAAAAAGAGTTCCACTAATAATCGGGTTTGATCTCAGGTGTTCCGAAAGGTAAATACTGTTCCACTAGTGACAACCGTCATATTGCTTATGGAAGGTAAACAATCGGTGAAAATTCGAATTCGGTGGTGTCAAAACCGAGAGAAAAATGCTATCTCCACTGTTTAATCACCATGTGGCCTCAAACAATTGGTCAAAACAACTATTAAAAAAAGGTTAATGCTAGAGCTGCCATAAAGCGATGGCGCTTATTAAGTTTTGAAGGCAGTATGGTGACCTATAGATGTTCACTGTCTAAAATTATTTCTTATAAGGTGGTTCTCATTGGTAATTTATTGGCAGCCATTCCGGCAAAATTGAACAAAATTTTGGAAAACAGACGTTAAAACAAAACACCTGCAAAGTCGCCCCAATAATTAAAGGAAGATCATCTCGCTGTGTCTTTAAATAAAGACATGCATGTCAACTCGCCCCACTAATGAATAATATTGATAACCTTGGAGAGGCAACTTTTTTTTTCACTTCTTTTTCTTTTAGTTGAAACAAAGCAGAAAAAAGTATATGTGAACATAAATACTCTGACAGTTGGGCATCTCTGTGGCGTACGGTGTTATTGCCCATTGTAATTGTTTAAGACAATAGTTGGGTGAGTTGGTATAAAGAGGGGACAGTTGGTAAATAGTGGGACGAATTGGTCTGGTGAGATATTACAGTGGGGCGAGTTGTCTTGCTTCCTCTCTAGCGTGTTGCAGATGCGACACCTGTTAGTTCTTGTATTTTGTCTGTTTTCGTTTTTGACCCCTTTTTTCTAAATTTTTTAACGTCTGCTTTTTTTTATTTTAATTTTATGTCTGTTTTCAGTTTATTTTCGACTTATGTGCCTTTGGCATCTTTCGCCTCTCTTTTTCGTATTAGACCTCTGTTGTGTGTTTTTTTAAATCGTTTGTCTGCTATCGTTTTTGACCTCGGTTCTTAATTTTTTATCGTCTGTTTTCTAATGTTATGACTGTTTTCGTTTTTGATGTCTGCTTTTTAATGTTATGGCTGTTTCCGTTTTTGATGTCTGTTTTTTAATGTTATGTCTGTTTTTTAATGTTATGTCTGTTTTCGTTTTTGATGTCTGTTTTTGATTTTAACGTCTGTTTTTTTTTGTTAATTTTATGTCTGTTTACGTTTTTCATGTCTGTTTTTTTTTTTTATTTTAATGCATTTTTTAAAATTCATGTATGTTTTCGTTCTTCACGTCTATTTTCTTTTTTGAGGTCTGTTTTTAATTTTATGTCTGTTTTCGATTTTGATTTCTGTTTTCTAATTTTATGTCTGTTTTCGTGTTTGATGTCTGTTTTTTTTTTTATCTTAACCTCTGTTTTTTAATTTTATGTCTGTTTTCGTGTTTGATGTCTGTTTTTTTATCTTAACCTCTGTTTTTTTTAATTTTATGTCTGTTTTCGTTTTTATGTCTGTTTTTTTATTTACCGTCTGTTCTTTTTAATTTCATATCTGTTTTCGTTCTTCACGTCTGTTTTTGTTTTTGACCTCTATTTATGGTGTTTGTAACGTCTTTTTGTACATTTTTATACGTTCATATCTACGGATATGAACGTAGATAACGAATTTATCCCCGGTCTTAGTCCAAATCTGGCGAAATTCGACCACAAAAAGTAACGTGAAAGCAACGTTTTTTTTCATTATTTAAAAAAGTTTTATTGAAATTTGGGAATTTGACATATTTTTAACGGGATGTAGTCAAATATAAGACGTTTTTAATCCAGAGACAGAAACTGGAATGAGTCAAATTTGGCGCTCAATGTTGTGAGAGTAACGCCATAGACGGTGTGACGTCAAAGTTTGTTTTTATAGTGATTAAGATGATAACACAATGTTGACTGCTGTACCCCTATTTTTGACATTTTTACCTATTGTGTCTGTTTGTTTTGTTCACGCATCGTTGTTAATATAATGGAATTTGATGCGACTGTCATACAAGTGAGAGGTTTAGCTAGCTATAAAACCAGTTTCAATCCACCATTTTCTACATAAGAAAATGCCTGTTCTAAGTCAGGAATATGACAGTTGTAATCCATTCGTTTGATGTGTTTGAGCTTTTGATTTTGCCATTTGATTAAGGACTTTCCTTTTTGAATTTTCCTCGGAGTTCAGTATTTTTATGATTTTACTTTTTTCATTTACATAGCTAGGTCAGTAGTCTCATTCATTGACAATGTGGCAGCCAAGTGATGCATTTACTAAAATGAGTGCAAATGATCGGCATAATAGGATAAAATCGTTACTGGATTAAATATTTAATTACAGACATCATGGATAATCTACAGAATTCAATATTTCACAATGAACAACCATGGAACTAAGGAAAACGCGCGTGAAGTTCCCTGGTGTAATTGTTTAGCAACGTCCGGGTATATGGGTTAGCCACTCCCGGGCTATGGGTTTTGTAACGACGTGCGTCAACCAATCAAAATCCTAGAAATATACTATGCCGGGGATAAAAATGTGTGTTTTCGTTTTTGAATAAAGGCAACAGTAGTATACCGCTGTTCGAAGTCTGTTTTTGGTTTTAACGTCTGTTCTTAAAAGTTTGTTTAATTTTACATGAATGGCTGCCCACAGTAGTGATTAATACCTCATCACCTTTTATTGATATATACATAAATGACTTACAACTGTTTGGTAGTCTTACTGATTCTGCTATACTCTTCCTACTGCCATACAAAAATGAACAATCAATGTATGAAGTTATCAAGTTCACTTGTTCCCTGTAAGCTACAAAAATTTTTTTTCCAATATATTTAAAATAACGCTATAGTTGAATGATTTTGTTAGTGTTGTTTTCATTATCATTGTTAATGTTACTATCGTTATTATTTTTATGATTAACTCTGTTTTGGTTTAGAAAAAAGAACATTATAGGGCAACGTGTGGCATTATTTTGCCTTTTTTGTTATTTAGCTAGAATTAGGAATTTTCTTAATATTTTCAGTTGAAAGAGCAGAATAAAATTTTATGTCTTTTTCATTATTTCAACATCTATAAAAAAAAACTCATAAAAAATACCGGGCTTATTATTCTGTACGCTAGACACGTGTTTTGTCCACAAAAGACTCATCAGTGACAATTGAATCTAAATATTTCAAGGCCAAAAAAAAAAATCGAAGTTGAAGTGTTGACTACTGGGGCAGGTGATATCCTAGGGGAGGAAACCGTCATTAGCGGTGTCATCGACCCAGCGGCTGTTAAAAAAACTGATCAAAGATACTCGGCTTATAATTTTGTACGCTATACGCTCGTTTCATCTACAAAAGACTGATCAGCGACCCTCGAATCAAAGCAGTTAAAAGGCCAAATAAAGTACGAAGTTAAAGGATCTAACATTCCGAAAGGTTTTGCAAAATACAGCTAACTTATTCTTCCTGGGGTAGACAACTCTTAATATTTCGAATAGTTCAAAGTTTTGTAAACAGTTAATTTAAAAATATTTCAATGACAATGATAATTCATGTCAGTATATATACCCTTAATATGTCATTTTCCTTTATTAGATATAAAGAAAAGGTAAAGGACAATCAAAGCAGAGATTAAGTACCTGACCTTTTTTTTACCCATGGAACATAAGAAAGAAGTCATTCATGTAATGCAGTTTGGCTAAAATGATCTATTCTATTTTTTAACAAACTGAATCAGAAATCGATTCTGCCTGAATTTTCACTAATTTACTAAACTATCCATGCATTTAGAAGAAAAACATAAAAGGTAGCATTTTTGGAGAGAGAAAACATCTTTCCCTTGCTATCCATATGGAAAAGTTGTTTGTTCAAAGACGGTAACAAAATAAACACAGAACACCGATGACATTTGGAGTATCGTTAATTCAAGTATCAACAGACAAACATATACACCACATCACATTTTATTCATTTACTTTGAGTGAAAGCAGTACGACCCGCTTTAAATTTCAAACGGGTAGAAAACAGCAGTAAACACTTTAATAAATATCAAAATAAGAAGATGTTGTATGATTGCCAATGAGAAATTCTCCACCAGCGACCAAATGACATAGAAGTTAACAACTATAAACCTACATTTCACGAGGACGAACGAAGAATTTCAAGTATATTCATTTTAGAAGCTAGTCTTTTTTATGTTGTGATAACAATATTTTATCCACAGATAACTTATGATCACGGCTTAGCAATATTTGACAAACTGATAATGAAAACAGCAGAACAAAGCATTTACTTATTTATATACAGTATTTCGAACAGGTTAAAGTACTTTATGTAGAGATGTTATGGTCTTTGATCTTCAAAAGAAGAAAAAAAGAAGAAAAAAAACGTTGTTTTATGGCATTTGGTGTGCTTTGAATTCAACATGTGTGACCAAACATTTGCCATCGTTATGGGTATACCGGTATGAGTAGAAAATAGCACAAATTCGAGCTATATGCGAATGCTTTGCTTATATTATGTCACAAGGGTAACATCATACATACGTGGTGAGTTGTTGTTCTTTGTAGCGGCATTTGATCTTACAAAGTTTTTACAGCTAGGTGGAAAACTTGAATCCCCCGAAGGAACGTCAAAAGGAAAACAAACATCAATACTGAAACATAATTATTATTGTATGTAATGAAAACAAAATGTTTATGAACAATGTGATATGATTATACATTAATGATACATCAACCCAGTAAATTAACAAAATTAGGTAGCTGATTATATATTATAATATCTAGACGTGGCCCTGTATGGTTTTTTCTGTTTTACTGCTTTACTGTTATACAAAATTCTGAAATGGTACATAAATGAAAATTAGAAAATATCATTGTACAAAATAGCTGGACGTCAAAAAATGCTGTTATTGTACTGGACCTAAATGGTAGTTTAGATTCATTTTTACTGAAATAGCAAACGTGCAATTTATTGTCTTATATTTTTATTTCTATGACGACATCTGTCATTTGCAGTATGGGTTTTATACACATACACAGAAGCTTCTTTATATCAAGGTTCTATATCTAAGTGTTCTTTTTGTTTGCATTTTGTTTTCAAAATAAGGGAAATATGCAGAATTTTCTGTTTAAAACTATGATCGGCAACTTTTACTTTTAATTATTATTTGTGACCAAGCATATTTATGTTCTTTGCAGAATTTAAAAATCTTCCGTTTTTTTTATTAAATCCCACAAACACCATACAAGTATAATCTCGTGAAATCATGAGACACATTTTATTACTTTTGCATCAATAATTCAACAGCCAGATATAAAAAATAAGTCTCTATTTGTATTTTGATATCTAAGATATGGAGATTCTACATGGTTCCAAATATTACAGGATATAACTGGTCACTACTGAACAGTTTCAAATACCTTCCATTCGAAATTTCGAAATTTCACACGTAATAAATGAAGTGAAAATGTTGTTTAAACAAAAATAAAAATATCGTGATAATTAATTTGTTATAAGTACGTTGTATTCCCTGATCCACGGAGAGAGAAAAATTTCTAACATTAAGAACTGTCATTTATATGAAGTATTATAGCTAAGTTTTCCCTGTTGCCAGAAAAATAGAATAGAAATAACTAGTGATTTCCGCAATGTCGTCTATAAAACAGTATAAAAAAATGTGTACTTAATTTTCTGCTTTGCAGCTTTGTGACATATATAATTTTCTATAAAAATTAGAGTAAGTATAAAGTAAAGAAGTATTACTAACAGAATTAAAAAAAAAAACAACGAAAGCAAAGAAAAAGACCAACGTATTAGCGTCAATATTTAATTGCAGGATAATAGCAATACACTTGCATCGTTGGAAAAAAAGATGAAGAAGATACTAAGGAGACATTCAAAACTCATAAGAATCTGACAACGCCATGACAAAACACGAAAGAGGATGAAAAGACAAACAAGTCCACAAAACACTACAAAACAAAATGAGGACTAAGTAACATGAACTCACTAAAACCTGGGGTTAATATCAGGTGCCCCTGAAGGGTAAGCAGAATTGAAACACCAGTGACACCCGTAATGTTGCTCATGATAGTCCAAATTCGGTGATAAGTCTCCTTCGGTGACGTCTCAATCGAGGAAGAGAGGACGGGTTTGTATTCAATATATAACATAGAATTAATATAATTAATATGGGTATGCAAATACCACTGTGTGTTTGTTAGCTTTTACTAATCTATATTATATATAAACTAGGAATTTTAAAATATCAACAAATTGAATTTTAATGCAGCAAAAAAAAATAACTGGATATGTTGATTTACAAATAATGCTATATCAATGTTCATACCAAGTAAAATCTGCTATAAGTCGTATTAAATAATATGAAATGAACGAGGAATGAAAAAAAAGATTGACCTAAAATGCAAAAGAGGGGCAAAAGATACCAGAGGGACAGTCAAACTCATAGATCGAAAATTAACTGACAACGCCATGGCTAAAAGATAAAAAGACAAACAGACAAATAATAGTACACAAGACACAACATATAAACCTAAAGACTAAGCAACATATCCATTGTTACCTTCGACACTTATATTTCGTAACAATTAACAAGCATTGATGGCGTCCGTAAAACGAATGAAATATGACTTCAACTTAACTATAAAGAAACTTTGGTTCAGTGGCTTACTTGTAAGCAGCAACTATATTTTAAAGAAATCCTGTTAGATCCAAGCATTGTGAAAAATCACATCAACTGGGGAATATTTACTGTAAATGCAGTTGCTCTAATTAAAAGAACATTCCCAAATTAAAAACATTGAAGCCACATTTTGTATAAAGATAGGTAAAAAGGAAAAGATTGGATCGTTTTTGCACTTCTGTTAGATATTTTATTGTGAAATCGATCAAATAGAATATTCACAATTATTAGTAAGCAGGCATATATGATTTACATTACATATCTCATAATGGAAGATTATAGGAGATTACAAAAGTAACATCTTACTTGCCAAAATGTGGATCCATTTTATTGCAGCAGTCAACATCTATCAAAAGATCATTTTAGATATTCATAAAATAAGTTATCATAGTTATCCCAATAATATCGATAATTTTCCCTATATTCATATCATGTTCAGGTTCATTTTATAAAACAAACAAAAAATGATGATATATTTGTAAATATGTACTTCACTGAACTGGTTGTCCATAGTGAAAAATGGTATTTATATCACATGTCCTCATTGATACAGTTTCATTAATAAAAATCAACTATTCTTTAACATAAAATTATTTCACCTGCAGTGACAAAATCCGAAACCTGTTAATCATAGGCATACTATAATTTGATAATAAAGATCATTAATAATACTCATTAAAGATGTTACAATTATTTAACACATCCATTAGTTTAAATCTTATGCAGAGCTAGACTTTGTTGTCTTAGTAGAATATTGCAAATCTTGCATGTTTTTGTAAAAGTTTGCATTGAAAACAAATCCGTTACCAACATGAAATCGTAAAACTTTACTTCGAATATAATTTTTGTTTTGGTTATAAATGTCATTCTTCCTATTTTTTTCAATAATACTCAAAATTTGTCAAAATCTAATAACATTTTAGTTTTAAGCATTCTTTAGGCATTTACAGTTTGGTAACATGTTCAGAAATATGACATAATGTTGTTAGAACATAAGAGAACACACATGAAGCTCCCATTGTGTCAAATTCAGTAAAGTTTTGAAGACGTTTTAAAAATGGCCGTATGTGAAATAATTCATGGGAACTTGATATTTCAGTTGATAATAGGGAAAGACTTTAAGGCAAAAGTTGTCTTTATATAAATACAAGAAATATCAATATGTCTGTCAAAAGTATCATTTTCACATGCCTTTAAAGTTAAACGTACAAGAAACTAATTTTCATTTTTATTGTGATTCGACGGAAGCGGGAAAACAATGCCATGGAATTGTCATTTCCTTATTTCCCCTGAAAACATATCTTAAACTAGCGAATGGGGATTTTGTTTTCATATGAAAATCGGCAATTCAGAGCTAATAACCATCAAGCTTGACTTAGTTATATGAGTGATTAATCTCGTAGTAATTATTTTCAAATGTATAAAGTTTAAAATGGCATTTTATATGAGGGACACGGCACATTTACGTTTTTTATAATAAACAATTCAATATTTAATAATATACGAGAGAAAAAAAAATAATACATCGACGTGTCTTAAATATAAAAAAATTAATATGCAACAGACACTACCAGAGGGCACAGCCGTTTCAATGAAATCGTGCGATATTAATTGACCGAAACACATGACCTCTCCAGTTCTCCATCGATCATACTGATTCGTTGGTCCTAAAGCCGAATCTGATACCAAATTGCTGAGAGTTCTTGGGTTTGGTAGTTTGTTCGGGTAACCTCTAGGAAGACTTTTTCCTGTCAAAAATACAAAATGGTATCTCATATATGCTGAATTGAAAACAAGAACGGCTATGAACGCATAGGAAACAGGGAAGGCTACAAATTATGGCAACTGTTGTTTACCGATGTTCAAATATCATCAATCGATTAAGAAGACAAATCAAGATAACAAAAGAAAAACTTAGAGCATCGCAGGAATTCAAAAAGGAGCTATGCATGCACCACTCGCCATGCGATTCCACACTCAGTCACAATCAGGAATGGGACATAATCTACCAAATAACAGATTACCTGAATATTCTGGTATCTAAACATGTCGCTAGTACATTGAGACATTGAAATTTTGATTAGTCAACTAATTTGTGACAGAGCAAGCGATAGCGCTTTTAATGTTGTGATTCATAATAGAAGTCACTATTGGAATTCTTTGATAAAATGAAAAATATTGATGTAAAAGTATAAGGCTACAAAGAGTGGACGTGGTCTATATTTATAAATTTCTTCATAAATTGGTGTATTAGATATGATTATTTGTATATGTAGATTATGAAGTTGATATAATACAAATAACAACTTCCAAGCTAATTCGATGCACCACTTACATATGTCGAAAACGCATTGCTCAAAACCAAGTATTGAAAATCTTAAAGTATCAATAGTTTAAAAGCAATGAACCCAAAATTGAAATGACAACACAAATAGAGACTAAATGCGTGGAGACATTTAGTCCTTTTGTGGATAATCGATCGAATTATACCTGTCATTCCATCCGGCACTCTTTAAAATCAACTTGAAATAGCAAGCTAACTGTGCATTTGCAATTTATTTATCTTCAGTGGTGCTTTACACCAATTGTTTTCAGTCTGAATATTTCATAAGTTGGAAAATGTAAAATTAAAACAAAAGGACACCAACATTATTTTTAAATATACCCCTCTGCATTTGAAGGATAGCATAAACATTTAACAATTTGGTAAGGCTTATTCATAAACGAAAAATGTCTGTAGTACCAATTCAAAATATCATGACATTTCAAAAGAACTAAGTGTTGTTCTAGTGATACGTTTCAAAACTTTGCAGTCAACCAATATGATATCAATCCATGTGGTTCTTGTAGTCATACAAAATAACAAGATACGATGGCAATTCTGATGCACCATTTACCGATTTCGAAAATATATTTCCAGTCATTAATGACTTGAAATGATACGCATAAAAATATTTTCATACATTGCAAAATTAGTGTAACAAAGAACACTAACATACATATGCAGATTTATTCAGAAAACTTGTTAAACTAGAAAACATTTTTTTTCATATAAATCATATACTTTTCTTTTTTTTGATAATCCCGGAATTAAAGTTAAAACCAGGAACTGGATTTTCTACTTTGAATATATGTTCAACATGTACCATCTGAAATTAGGCATCACATTATGTATAGTTTCATTTACTTATGTTTCAATGTTATTTTCTATTTTAACTGGTAACTAAGGTCTTACCGTCCTCATATGCCACCATTGGATTTCCATCCTTGTCCGTCAATCTTCTCAGTTTGGTATCACCTTTTCCCCAAGTGGGATTTCTCAAGTTATTACATGACCCATCAATTGTTCTATATCTCGCATTTTTCGGACAATCTAAATGTAGAATATTAACATTTATTTACATGAACGTTGTTTTTTTGTTGGTGTTTAACGCTACTTTCAGCTCCTTTATCATGGTGGCCGCTTTAATTTTTTTGGAGGAAGCCGGAGAACCCATAGAGAACAACCGACCTTACAAAATGCATAACATTGTGTTACCGATACAATGAAATAAGACACGAAGGTTAAACACATTAATGCTTTCATTCAATAAGAGAACTGACTTCGAACAATTGACTGCTCTCTAACTGTTTTCATCTGCTCGCACTTCCAGGCGGAAAGCCATTATCAAAAACAAAACTGACATTATTCTATATATTTAACTACTACTTGTTTATCTGTTAATAAAACGAGATGTGGGGTATATGTAATTGAGACTGTTGTCCAACAAAACAAAAACAAAAAGTAACAGTAAAAGCATTCAACGAAGGTCTTCAATAATCGAACAGTGTCTACACCTTATGTCATGGTCTAAAGCATACTTCATATAATCTTTAACTCAAGACCAGCCTGTATCATTTGTGAGGTTTAAACTAAACATTATCTATTAGGTCTTGTACTTTTCCGATGAGGTTTTTGAGAAAAATGACAAAATCATTGCTCTTAAACCTTTTGCTCGGACGCCGATCAATGAATGCTGTTTTAAGTTAATCATATTTCTATTTGCTCTTGAATATCGGAACAAATGGTTAATTAAAATTCTAATCTCCATTCTATTCATCAATTCAATTATTTTTTACATATATAATTGTTATTTCAACAAATGTTTGCGATCCGGATATTGGCATCACAGTTATTCATACAATCGTATGACGGCGTTAACAGTCCCATTTAAGGAAAGACTTACGCTTGTTTCTATTGAGTAATGATCTCATGACAAAGTGCATGGTAAACGCGTCATTTATGAAAGGATTCCAAATGTTGAACCATACAAAGATAAAGATACATGTGAGATGTCTAAAACAGGTTGTTGATTTTTCATTAGAAATTGTCGATATGTATTGTACTCATTCGAAACAAAGTCTTAATAAGATCCTCTGAAGGTAGGAACAAACTGAAGCAAAATAGTCTCCAGATACATGTATATTGATTTTGTCTTTTCAATTAGTTAGCCTTGATTAAGAGATTGTTAATATATTTTACAATCCTGGTTAACTTAAAATTATGGATGTTCCAGAGACAATTAGGTTTGCTTTATTCGTAAGCCTTGTGTCCTTAAAAAAACTTAAATAAACGACTCGAAGCCAGCCTCTTTTACAAACGAAAGGATTTTAATTTTCGTATCGCCAACTTCTAAGTCTTTCGAATTAACGTGATATTTGTTCCATCCTTTTGTGTTCACTATTCTTACTGCTACGATATGCGAGAGGATGTTCTCATTATATAATGTGACATGGAAAACCATTCACAGACATATTTGGAAAAAATTGAAATCTTCACAAATTCTACGGTCAGCATCATGTTTTGTACAAGGCATGTACTATAGTTATCTAAGTAATATATTACACATGTCAACAACCTTCAATCAGACATGACTCACTTTTAATAATGTACCTGACCTTGAAACTGCAAGACAATTGACACAAGTGTGATCTGTGATGCACGCATGATCTATAATCTCTACCTTGATAAAGCACTTGATCTCACTCCATTTAGAGTTAATGCGTTTTCAGGTACTTCCACTTCTGTGCAACTTGACATTTGAAACCATAAATCAACTTATGTTTGCGTATACATTTTTGCAATTAGGTCTTTTTAGCCAACTTTGTGAAAATTTATTTCGCGATTTTCGAACTAGATAGAATGGGTTTACATTTCATATAAAATAAACGTTGAATATACTCATGACTTAAAAAAACCACATTCATTTTTCCAAATGTATATTTTTTCATAAAATTGAGAATGGAAATGGGGAATGTGTCAAAGAGGCAACAACCCGACCATAGAGCAGACAACAGCCAAAGGCCACCAATGGGTCTTCAATGCAGCGAGAAACTCCCGCACCCGGAGGCGTCCTTCAGCTGGCCCCTAAACAAATATGTATACTAGTTCAGTGATAATGACCGTCATACTAAACTCCAAATTATACACAAGAAACTAAAATTAAAAATGATACAAGACTAACAAAGGCCAGAGTCTCCTGACTTGGGACAGGCGCAAAAATGCGGCGGGGTTAAACATGTTTTTTGAGATCTCAATCCGCCCCCTATACCTCTAGCCAATGTAGAAAAAACAAACGCACAACAGTACGCACAGTAAAACTCAGTTTAAGAGAAGTCCGAGTCCGATGTCAGAATAGGAAACAAAAGAAAATAAACAAAATGACAGTAATACATAAATAACAACAGACTACTGGCAGTTACTGACATGCCAGCTCCAGACCGCAATCAAACTGATTGAAAGATTATGTTTTCATCATATGAATATCAGGCACAATCCCTCCTGTTAAGGGTTTAGCATTATACCATCATAAAATATATGAGAAGAACATAACCCGTGTCATGCCAACAACTGGTTTTAGAATAAATATGTTTAATTCCGATGCAAAGACCCTATAAGTGAATCAATATTGAAGCCAAAATATGCAATCTTTAATGACCTGACAACAGTATCGTAACTATATCCCTTCTTAATAAGTCTGTTTAAAGGTTTAGTTAGCTTTTGAGGTGAATACTGACATTTTTGTGCTTTGTAAAGAATATTACCATAAAAGATTGGATGTGAAATACCCGAACGTATAAGATGTCTGCATGTTGAGTTATATTTACGAATGATTTCCTTATACCGATGATAAAATTTAGTAAATGTTTTGAATAGTTTATGATATCGAAAACCCTGGTGTAATAATTTTTCAGTAATACATAAATTTCTCTCGCTAAAATCTAATACGTTGTTACATACACGAGCGAATCGTACAAGTTGAGATATATAAACACCATAAGATGGTGACAAGGGAACGTCACCATCTAAAAATGGATAATTAACGATAGGAAATGAAAAATCATCTCTTTTATCATAATTTTTTGTATTAAGCTTCCCGTTAATGGTATAGATATCAAGATCGAGGAAAGGACAGTGGTCATTGTTAGTATTACCTTTATTTAAAGTAAGTTCAACAGGATAAATTTCTTTAGTATACATACTGAAGTCGTCATTATTGAGAGCCAATATATCATCCAAATATCTAAAAGTATTGTTAAATTTTTGCATCAGATGTTGTTTCGATGGGTCTGTGCTGATTTTAGTCATAAATTGTAACTCATAACAATACAAAAACAGTTCCGCAATAAGTGGTGTACAGTTAGTCCCCATTGGAATTCCGATAATTTGACGATATACGGAATCTCCAAAGCGAACAAAAATGTTATCAAGTAAAAATTCAAGGGCATATATAGTATCAAAGCATGTCCAATTGAAACTACTAAAAAATGACCTAAAAGAGTTTGAACATATGTATCGCATTCCGACTTTTTAAATGCCCATTTAATTAGGTGTGTGAATTTTTTCTTAATAAGAATATGAGGCAAAGTGGTATATAGGGTAGAAAAATCAAAACTTTGAACAGATTCAAAATCACCAATATATGCATGCAATTTATCAAGTACTTCCAACGAGTTTTTGAAACTCCAAAAGTAGTTAATTCCACTATTTTCAAAGGCCTTATTTGAACAATTTATTATCAAGTTTTTGATTGTACCAAGTGTACTAGTAAGTAGAATAGACAATTTAGTAGTGGAACAATGACTTGAAGACGAAATAAATCTATATTTGTAAGGTGATTTGTGTAGCTTCGGAAGCCAGTACATAGTTGGGACTTTCATTGTATTTGGTTCTGCTTGTAAAGAAGTAGCTAATAGTTTATGTTTGTTACAGATATCGTTTTCTGAAAATGAAGTCAGTTGGAATGTTGGTGAATTCGTGATTTCCTTTTGCAGAACCTCAATGTAAAATTTACGTCAAACTATAATGATATTAATAGCAGCTTTATCAGCCAGGACAAAAACAAATTCCTTGCCAATTTGTTTTAGTTTATGTTTGATACGAGAAATAGGATTTTTATGGTTGTTGTTAAGAGTAAAATGTTCTTTAAAATGTTGTATACGTATATCAACTATCTTCATTACTGAATTAAAAAAAGAGTCCAAAGATTTTTTGTCAGCTTTTTCCCGTTTTATCCATTTCAAACAGTAAGCACGAAATGAGTCGTGGATGATATTACGACACTAATTCCAATTAATAATTGACGGGGGACGATATTTAGGTCCTTTTCTGAGGAATGATTTTAACTCTCGGTCGCGAACGATGTTAAGGTCTCCTGTTATAACATGGGAATTGGGGCTATAAGTGTATTCGGAATTACTACAATTACATGACGTAGGTGTATTTTCACTGATATTTACATCTTTACAGACTTGGCTATAATTAAACACAAATTTTTGGGTAGATTTCTTTTAAATATAACAAATAAGAGGGAGTTCAGTATTATCAAAATATCCAGGAATTTGTTCTTTAACAGAATGGTCGTTAAAAATACCGGCAATATTTACAAAATCAAAACCTTTATTTACATACTTTATTTTAATAAAATGTTTTTTATGATCTTCAGGGCGATCAATTTTGGGAAACAGTTTAGAATAACAATATGCCATTATGATTTGAACGATTTCATACTTAGGACTGCAATATGAAATTGTGTTGCAAATCTCTAAAATTTTATCTAATTTATTTATAGGTAAAGAACAGAGCTTGGTTAATAGATAAATAGATAATGTCTGCCGTTGTTTTTTTAAATAGAAATTAGGTCCGAAATATTTGTACGGTTGGTCCGAAATTTTCTTTGATTGCGATTTTTTCTACGCCCATGAGAACGGTTTTTACGAACAGTTTTAGAAACTATATCCAAAATGTTAACAGAATCGGTTCTTGATATATTACCAATTCCCATGATATTATCATTAAGACCGAGAGGGTAGACTGTCTGTAATTTTTTAATC